AAGCATTTTCTAAACATTATGTTAGTGATAATTAAGCTGTGAACGTTATTAATGAAAACAAAAACAAATCCTTACCTCCTGTCTTCTCATGGTAACTAGCATGGGGAGGTAAAATCGCTTCTTAAGTTTTAATTTGTTTGTTATAACAGCTTATTCTATTTTATATCCGATTTCTTCCTCTGCAATTTATTTCTTCATCCAACAATTGTCTGGTGCTTTCTTTTAATTATTTTCTTCAGTCAGACCGAACCGAAAGAGTACTTATAATGCACTAGTCACTTCTTGTTGTTTCCTGAGATTTTCTTTTATACTGGATGTTGTGCTCTCATGTCGTGATTCCTTAATTTGTTGTCAAATAATTTCTTAAAAGAAAAATCAACATTTTTTTCATCGATTTGCAGCTACTTGTTTTCAATTTGTTTCATTCTCTGTCTTTATTCCATCTTCTAAGCTGTCTCCTTTATCCTCGCGAAGTTGTTTCTTAGATTCTTGATTGCCATATTGTACGAGTGTCTATTGAATTATTGGAGGAACGAGATTTGATTTTTGTGATAATTAATGCCATGTGAAAGAATATCGTGTTGAGCAGTTATTCCATTAATTTTGAACTTTAAGTTCATGTAATGAAGGCAGGATTTTAGTTGCAAGAACATATTCAATATATTCAAATAAGCACAATGAGTGATGATTCTTCATTTTTATAAATTCAATCAAATCAATTCCTTATCTTGCTGGACTTGTATCAATTGTCAACTTGACTGGAATATCCGTATCTTTTGACATTTTCTTGGAGCTTACTCGTCTTGGATTTCATTCATTCTCAAATATCATCATTATCTTTAGAATCGTCTAATGCTTTATTTAAATAGTCATCAATATCTTGCATTGTGTCACTAACGTCTGGTGAACTTACAAATAACTTTGACTTCCCAAATCAGTACGTTTGCGGACTATACTTATTTAAAAGTTTACGTCCAATTCTCAAATTTTAATTTTTGACTTTCATTCTTACTCGAATTGCTGATTCAATGTCTGATAATACTGGATATATAATCTAAATATTTAATCTCTGTGGATTGGATATTCTGGCACGTTTCTCGTCATCAATTAATACCTGTGTAATTATATGCTTGATTGATTTGATACCTTCATCGTCACTGCTTGGCGTTGAGCATGTTTGTTATTAAGCTGTTTTCAGCCTTATTTATGTCCGTCCTGATTTTTTAGAGCTGACTTAACGATGAAGCACATGAGTCCTGTAAAATATAAAAGAATATAAAGATTTCAAATAATTGTGATAAATAACGGCTACTTCTTAAAAAGGTTTGTTAAAAATGTGTTAAAACTCTTCGTGAAAATGTGGAAACAAAAAATGTAGGTAAGATCCAGTGACAACTTTGGAATATCAGAATGACAAACCAATGGCAAAGAAGAAGACAAAATACTATTTGAGAAAGATGGAGTTTTTTATGATCCTTTAAGAAAGAGTTATTAGAGCAATAGTGCTGAAAGAATTTTCTATGAACAACCTGCATATCGCTATAGATGAGCAAGACATGAGTTCAGATGCCCACAAGACGCTCCAGCATTTAGAGAGACATTTGCAGACTTTACGGATAGAAAAAGATCTTAGAAGAAGATCAAAGAATATCCGAATTGGATGTGTTGATAAGAACACTAGATTCTTTAATATTCTGAACTGGCAAAAGGTTTCGAAGGTTTTAGACAATTTTTAACTGCAACAATGGACCCACTTGTTCAACAGCCAAGAAAAAAAAAAACAGTAACGCTTAATAATTGCATTGGAAATGCTCTAAATTCAGTAAAATTACATTTAAAACCAAAAGAAAAGTTACATAATTTATAGATCTTAGAATCCCAATAGAGTTATGAACTTGAAGAGCTAGGATATCCGAAAATTAAATTATTTTTGGATAGAATTAAAATAACAATGACTCACTATTCGCTTGATTAGTTGCTCTTTTGTAAAGTATTCCTTTGGACGATCGCACCAAACTGGATTTTGATTCTAGAAATTTTGCTTCATGATCCTTTGGAAGTTTTGACTACGTACATTGCATAAACTTCGTTGAATGACAAGTTGTCAGTAAATTTGATGCTTTTAAGTCCGGGTAATCGTAGGCAGGGTTTTAATTGCAAGGACATATTCGTTTTATTTAAATAGGCACAGTAAGTGATGATCATTACTTCCATATGTTGTCTATCGATCCATATTACGTAACTCTAGCTGTTTGCTGTCAACGATAGAAACTGACTGAAATTGTATGGTTTCGAAAATGCTTTGCTGGACTTGTTTGAACTTTTAGCTTGACTGAAATATCTGTTTCATTATCGTCCTCAATATTCATTCATACTCATCTGTATCATTCATACTCAATAAGTATCCAACAGAGTTTTCCTTTATCATCATAATCATAATTACCAAAATCGTCAAATGCTTCATTCATTCATTGCAAATCAGTACTAGATTGAGAATTTTTACCATACGATACATCATGTTGCATTTTATGTCTTTTTTATGTTGCTCGAAAGATTTCCTTCATTTGAAAGATTTTCTTGATTGTTTTGAAATTTTCTGTTTCAAGATAAAAAAATATTTTCTCAGATGTTGCTTCGATTTTTTTTTGTGACAAATTCAAATGATTATAGCAGATTTTCAGGAAAACTTTGTAAAGAGATGAATTTAGCAAATGAGTTTTTCATAATCAAACTGGCCAAACTTTGTAATTAAATTTAAATCGTTTGCTGAATATTGAAGAGTTCCATCTTTTGCTTATGAAATGTGAATAATATAAAATTAACAATTCTCACATGCTAAATCTGATTTAAGGACATAAAAAAAAGACAAGCCTGCAAACCAGCATTATCACCTTAAAAACGTTCAACGAATGAATGCATGAAGATATGAAACTTTGTTGATAAGAATTGCGGATGTGATTCCATAAAGGTAATAAACTACATTTTCTAGCCACAATTATCCCTGGGGTGGATTACCCTGGGGAACTTAGGTGGAGGGTATCCTAGGAAGACCTAGCTTCCTTAATCCAAAATATCAATAGATATTCACAAACTTTCAGTAAAGCTTAACAATAAAATGTGACACTAATCTACCAGATTAATTCAGGTGCTGATACAATTAGACAGAATAAAAGTAATGAAATATATTCTCAGAGACAATGTCACAAAAAGATATTCATTTCCTCTCCATCAACATTCGACATTTTAATAAATTACTAAAGGCAATTTGCCGTTATCGAAAATAACTAATTTGATGTATTAAGCGATTTATTATTAAAATTCTGGCTTTTTATCTTGGCACTCGAAAATGAAGAGAGAAAAGAAACTTATTTATTATTATGCATATTGGAAGTAAGTTGATGATGAAGAAGTTATTTGATGGCGATATAAAGATAAGAAATGAGGGGAAACAGAAGGAAAGAGACAAAATGTTCGACTTAATGAATGAATGAGCATGAAAAATGAATCGAATAAGATATTTGAAATATTTCTTGCTGTTATGATTAGTTTCTGATCAGATTATCATCAATGCTCTTATAGAACACATTATGATCATGGTAAAAGCACATTAATGATCTATTAAGGAAAATTAAGTTTGATGAAGAAATTACAACTAATTGTAATTAATAAGTAAGCGTGGAGCTTTATAAACATATCTGATAATAATCTCTAATGTTAAATTGCGTTTGTTAACTGTATAGTTCGTACTGATAATTTATGCGACGCATCGTGTTCACACGTTTTTTTACTATTTACATGCTTCTATGAGCATTTAAACACTCGTGAATATTTTAGAACACCTCAAATGTTTGTAATGTTGAGAACATTTGAGGGGTTTTGAAACATTTTGAAATTTATTCGTTTGCTTTCTTTTTGATTATTTTCTCCAAAAGATACAAACTTCTAAGGAAGTCACATGATGTGTTATCTTTAAGTTATTCTTGTGGTCCTTACTGGCTCTAAAACAAAAATCACTTATCTCTACATCAACCTACACTCACCCACAATCACTTAAAATATAAGCACTTGAACTTAATAAGGAAACGACCCATAATCATGATCTGTATGCTGTATCAAATACCTAATGTTTTAAGAAAACCTTGGCCATGGAAATAAAAAAGAAATTCTTAATTTTCACAAATTACATTTCAGTTTCAAAAAGTCATTTCGCGTCAACTTTATATATTAATCAAAATGGCACAAATGGCAAATATTATTTCCGACAAACGGAAGTAACCACCGAATTGATTACATGGTGATATAGTATTAACCATACAATAAAAATCACCACAGATAATTACATAAAAATTGGAACAAGGTGTTCTATATTAATGAAGGCAGACTATGTATACATGTATGGATAATGTGTCCAAACACACACTTACGAGAAATATTAACATACATTATAGTGTCCGCAAGCCATCACACGAATGCCGTGTTTTATGAGTACTTTGTGTGTGCACTATGACACTAATATGTCAATTTCTACAATTTTTGTTATTATTTCATTCCTACATGGTCAGTTTGAGGTGGATTTCTGACAGTGATTGAAGTATATCCAATTTAATTTTATTTTAGGGCTTTTTCCGTTACGCATTTAAATTTTAAAGTGACTTGCAAAGTGAATTAAGGATCATGGAGAATTGAAATGTTTTGTGAAAAATTGAAAGTGATAAAAATTTCAAAAAAACGATCGATAAAAGCAGCAACAAAACTTAAGGATTATTTCCATTAATGTCATATGTTTAGTGTTATTCTGTCCTCATATTTATTTCTATGAAAAAAAAGTACAAAAATCAATAAAAATGTGTATGGACAATAGTATAGTTAAATATTGATCAATTGGACTACTTTCCACTAACATTTAAGCACATTTTATACTGAAAGTGGTAATTTCCATAAATTTATCAAGTCATCTGTTGGCATACATCAGGACATACTGAAATTTTGTTAACTATACAATGGAGTATAAATTGAAAGCAATTAGTAACAATATTGATAATGATAGAATTATTGACATGATGCTCGAGGAAAGTAGCAATAATAGTGCTAGTGGGAAATGGGAGAGCAAAACTATTTCGACGAATCACATTTGCGAAAAAAATGTTCCTGTGCTGTACAGTACACTACGGGGTGTCTATTTGAGAAAATTTAATAAAAGTTCAGCAAATAATTATTCAATTGATTTTTGTGATTTAGAGCGATGGGTGAGTATAAAATAATAGTTGGTATGTCAATATGTCCTGCACATAAAAGTTCAGATAATTGTGTTAAAAAAATGAGTTTTCAAAAAGAATCAAATCTTCAAAATTGAGCTGAGTTTTTCTAGAATTTTCTTCAAATTCAAAGCCACCCTTTTAAAATTGTGTTATCTTGAACTATATGTCAAGAGTTCGATTCCTGTGCTTGTGACTTCTTTCTTTATTAAAAGTCTGACAAAGTCAAAAGCTTTGAATTTCAATAGATCTCATTAATTAATAATCTTTTATTTTCCTTAATCAACTTTATCCTTAAAAATTATTAAAGTGTCGTTAGTCGTGTAAAGTTTCAGGAATATCCTTTGGCACACTCTAGATCCTTAATCAAATTTTAAGAAATTCAAATGTGAACTTTTTAATTCATTAGAACTATCGAAAAAATCACATGGAATCAATTGGATTAACGCCGCCAAGCACTTCATCTGATAAATCGTCAACATTCCAATCCGTTAAACCAATTAAAATTGTACGAGCAAGGAGTGAGACAAAAATGGATGAAAAGAGTATGGAATCGCCAAGTTGAAAATGAAATTAAAAAGATTATGCATCATTGCATACAAAAATGCAGCAACATCCAGACGATGTAAATGGTAAGAGAAATAAATTAATTTACCAATAACGTCACGATACAAAAATATCCATGTCCTTTATATGATTCATTGCATGTCGTGTATATTGAAATTAATGTCACTGATTCTGTGCCTTTATTCATTATTAAATTTATGTTGTGTCATTAAATCAATTTACGATTAGAAACGAAATGCTTCAATCTTGTCACGTTCTATAATAATAATAATATGGGTTTTCCTCTTATGACATGTTTGATGAATACATGAATTCTGAATTAAGAGATGGATGAATAATGTCGCGTCTGACTCATTAACTTGATTTTCACTTTTCCACCACTTATACTCAAGTACTTCTGTACATGTACGTTGTAGAACAAAAGGATTATGGCGGAAACTCATTCAGTGCTACATGATTATTCTTTTAAAAAACTCGACGTATGAGATGGAATGGTGACGATATACATTCTAGAATCATGAAAATCAGAATGGGAAAGTCATAGAAATAAAATAATAATTTAGACTGAAATCGCTGTATTGGAACTTCTTGATGTTATTTTCGTTTCTTAAGTTTCTTCATATTTGGTTAGATTCGATTATTCATCACTTCTAGTTGAATAGAACGTTAAGAATTTAAAGAGTTTCGAACTTTTAAAGCTAAGCATTTCTCGGGAATATCATAGATTATAAACTACTGACTTCCCATTGATCATGTATCAGCATGATTTTAAGTAAAATTATCTAGAAGTCCGTAGTTTTGTAGTTGTATGTCTTAATTATCTGTAGTCGTATTGAATTACTTTGAATTCGAGCTTAGCCGACTTTAAATTGATCTGCAATCCCTAAATTTTTAGCGCATTTTTGAAACTTGTTTCTAAAAAGTAGCTTAATAATACACTCTGTTCGGCTGTTCGGGGCAAGATAAACTTTTTAACCAGACATCGTCGAGAGCTCGAGTTTGTTTTATTAGCTTAGTTCTATCGAGTTATTGGCCGGCCGAACAGTTAAAAGTCTTAAAACAGTATATTTGTACTTTAATTAATGATTATTTTATTTAATATGAAAAACACGTGATGGGTGCGTTTAGAAGATTGAATTATTTTCTACCATTGTAAAAATTGTAATCAGGGTTCGTCCAGAAATTCAAATTTTTTTAACCGGTAAAAAATTTGAAATCCAAAACAACCGTTAAATGATAAACCCTTTTCGCTAAAATTAATGATCTTCTAATCTTCTGATGATCTGTAATTGAACGCAAAATAATTAGATAATCAAATACTTAATTTTTTTAAACTAATTTCGCTTAAAATCCCTTTTGAATAAGTACAATTATAAATGTTCCTTACTTAATAGAATGTTGCATCAAACTCCGATAAACCAATAATGTTATAATGTTTAAGTTATTAAATTGAACAAAACATTGCAGGATGTATGCCGTCTAGTAAAAAATGTAAACAAAGCATTCAACTTTAGCATAACCACGCTACTTTTGAATGTTTTATAAAAACAATGTACTCAAAAGCTCTTATGCTGAGCATATCTCTTATTGCTGTGTGAATTTAATACAACGTTTCATCTCTTACGGTACGGATGCAAAAGTTTTACGCGCTCTCATTTTTTCCCTCTTTAATTGAAGGGAAGAAGAGAAGAAAATTGTGAAAAAATAAATTTTTCTTATTTTTGGAAGTGCTAAAAAGAAATAAAAGTAAAAGAACAATATTTGAGTGAAAGTTTTCCATTTTATGAGAACATAAATATATTATTTGACAGGATTAGAAAAGAAATATTTAACTTTAATTCGACAATTTATTGGTTTTATGATTGTGTGTTAAGAGAAAATCGATTTTACGGCATCAATTTTTCTCTCATCTTTCGTACATGAGAAATTTTTTTTTTGTTTTGATGCCGAGGGAAAACACATAAAAAAAAAAGTTGAAGAATATTAAGACATACAAAAAAAGACATTCATAATTTATGGAATGCAAATCAAGTGCAATAATTAAATGGTTATGAAAAATTATGAATTGTTAAATTTTATAGCATAATGCAGTAAATTTATTCATAAGAGATTCATAATGAAAAGTTGCATAATGTGAATAATTGAAAATTCAAAGTTTGTGGAAATTGTACAATTAGTGAATGCTGAAAAATTTTATAATTAGAAAATATTACTGTAGGAAAACTAGACACATGATTAAAACTTTTGTTCTTAAAAAGGTAAATTATCATTATTTTAAGCCATTTTGTGTCAAAGTAAGGACTTTTCAAATCGTCTTGGTCTTGATGAAAAGTTCTCTTAACTTATAAGAGCTTATAAGTTCCTGAAAAATCTAAGTCTATGCCTCCACAGGAATCATTCATATTGTTATATGATTTCGAAAGACTTGCAACCTTTTATATAGGGCTTTATGCCAAGTCCTGTCTATGTTTCTTGCCTTACTACTCCACTAATGTCATTGAAACTTTTTTAAAAAAATTCAATGCATACCTAACGACATCGTAGACACGAAAATTATTGAAGAAGGAAAAGGAAAAATAAAATAAATCAACTTTCGCGTTTGGTGCTTAAAAGCTAGAAAGGATGAAACTTTTTTTGCCGCCTAAAAATTATTTATAAAACTTTTTAATGGAATAGCTCGTATTATGTTCAGCGACATTTGTTTAATATTCACTTTAGACAACTTTCAGACTAAAATGCCTCTTTGTCATCCTCATAATAACCCTTCAAATATCAAAAGAAGTCTGAATATTATTTCAAAAGAATTTTTTCCTACCTTATGAAAAATCAGATTTTTTTCATTCATTGCGTTCCTTACAAGTTTGAATACCATTGTGAATTGTTGCTTTAATGCGCTTGATTATGAAATATCACTCCGTGTTCTTAGCTCAATGACTTACTTCTTATAATAAGTAACGCCAGTTTTCAGATATTTGTTGAAACTTACCCTAACAGACAAATGAGGAAACTCATGATACCGTAAGATACTCAAGAGCTTATTCTAAACATATAATCTTTAGTATGCTACGGTACCATTAGTATACTCAATTGTATGTTTTGGATACTGCAAAAATAGACAATGGAATGAAAATATCCTTAAACAGATTTCAACAAGTTTCCCAGGAACAACATTCACTGCCAAATATTTTCAATTTAAGTAAACTAAACTTTTAGTCTTAATACAAATCGAGATCCAAAATGCTAAAAATGACTTTACACTGAATGTGTTAAATACAGTCGAGGAAACATCAAAAGCAAATATAAGCATATCATTATTCTGATATGAATCTCTTTAAAAGCTTATTTCAATGCTCATTAAAATCGTCATCAGCATGTACCGTATGCTAAATATTCAACTCTATTTGAATATTCTTCCTGATTCCATTTCATCTAAAATTTTCTTTATGATTCGTTTTTATGTTTTATGAATGTATGTATACTTTAGAGCAGTGGTTCTCAAACTGTGTGTCGCGGCAAATTGGTGTTCTCATGTTTTATGACTTCAAAAAGATAATGAAAATCGTTTAGTGTGGCGCGAAAATTTTTATGCAAAAATATTAACCGTGGTTGATCCACATAACAGTTTGAGTAACACTGCTTTAGAGTCATGATAGATGAGTCTAAATGAAAATCATTTTCATGATGTCTACCAATGTCTCCATATTTAAATATTAAACGTTTAAAAGAGACTATGATTCTGTCAAATCTGAATAGGATTTGAAGTACTTTATTTGAGTATGAATAATTTCAGAAATACGGTCGGTCAGTTTCATTCAATTATTTTAAAATTAGCAATATGTTATCTTTATTTTATGGGATTCAAGGAGATACAAGTTCAATATGATACTTTAAAATATCAGTTTATAACATCGTGCAGATAACGGAAGCCCCGAATTGTATTGATGATGCAGATCAACAAAATTTTAAATGCTGTCCTAATAGTGACTAGGTGAACATTAACATCGAAGACAGCATACTTTTTTTTTTATAATATTTGAATAGCTCCAAGTGCTTAAGCCTTATGTTTTGACTTAAATTAGACTGATTAATCAAAATAGCAAGTTTCAGAAACTTGTTTACTGCACCACTTAATTTATTCAGTTTCACATTGATTGCCTATTTAGTGGAGGTCGTAGATGGGTTTATGTTACACGAGATTCAATTTTTCAAGTATTTGAGTTCTTCTTGATTCTTAATGATTCCTGCTGATTTTCAGAACTAAACTTAAACAAAAAAGCTTCACCAATTTAGACCTCTTTTGATCAAACAAATAGCTAAAAGATTATTATTATTATTATTTTATTTAGTCTGTCTCAATTTTTGGTTTTCAGCTTAAGTTATGTTTTCATCAAAGGATAAAATATGAGACGACACCGCATTAAGCAGTTGAACATTTAAATATATGATTTTTACAAAAAAATATCAATACTGGTCCAATTGGGTTATATATATGATAATCGGATAGAATCACTATTAATTCACACATCACTACACTGGATGGATTAATGACCATCCAAACGAGCTGGCAAATGTTTAATTGAGGCATAAAACAATTTAAGAAGTTTAAGCACACAGCAAGGAATACATGTGAAAGTCTCAAAAGAAAATTCTCAATCAATAATTTGGATTCTCTTATTAGATCTCTATTGGGCATAAATCGAGCATTTAACAAAAGACTGCTTGCTCAAAATGATTTCATCTATTTTTCTTACGTCCTTCCAACAATGAAACTCATCCAATCGAAAGAGATTTGCTGAAATTTGCAATTTTCTTTTCTTTTATTAACCAAAAGGCATGAAAATGTCGAATGATTGGATACAAAGTATGTATGTAGACAATTGAGAAGGAAAAAGGCGAATAAATTAAGACATTGAATAGTAATTTTTTCTGGATGAAATGAACAATCTTAAATTAACTAATTTAAATTCCATTCATTGCTCATCATATTTTTTTTTATGAAGAACAGAAGCATAATAGCAATGACAAACAAGTTAAGACCTCTCGAATTTTTAATTATTGTCATACTCGAATAAATGAATGTTAATCAATACGACAAGGACCTGCCACAGAGAGAGAAAAGAGGAATCTCATCCAATAACAATTGCATTAATTAATTCATTAAGGAAATAAATAAATAATAAAGAGAATCAAAGATTCGCGGACACGATAAAAGAATTTTTAAATATATGTATTTCGGCTATATTCGTGTTGATTGACATCGAGTTTCAGACTGTAATCAATATTTATTATCAGTCATTTTGTGATTGCATTAATATAGGACATACATTTCGTTTAAATTCTATATTGTTTAATTTCGAAAGACAAGCGAAACACAAGATTGAGAATCATTGATAGACATTGGTACAAAGCGACTTTACATTAAGTATCAAGTATTTGTTTATGAAGGTTTTTTGTTAAAGACAAACAACTGCTTAGTATTTCAACGCACGGTTCCTTATTTTTATGAAATATATGTTGTCTCGCTAGATTGTGACTAGTTACATTGCAGGGTACATCAGGTCTTTTAACGTACTCGTGTCTTTGCAATGTGCAGAGCTTGCAAGTGGTTCGGATCCCACTATAAACTGTAGGTCTAAAGGGTGTGGTACAATAGATTATTTACAAATTGAATCGTAGTGTCTTCAGCTGAAAGGCTGGGCCCTTCATACATTTTTATTATTATTATTATTATTATTATTATGTTGTTTCGCTAAAGGTGCAGGTGCTAGCTGTTCACATTGGTATTGTGTGACATTTAAGAATCTAATTTCAAGTATGTCGCTCTGCTAGTGTTGTAAATAAATGTCCTTAACTTCAAGTATATAAATCATGTCATTATGCCTATAAAAAGGCTTTATTCTGAGTCCAATAATTCTTATCTTCACATCAAGTTGAAAATCTTCAAAACTTAAGTAATTTCTAGGTTGTGGATTAAAGTATCCATTTTTAATTATACTCATAGAAAAGCTATTTAAATTGCATGCTTAAAAGCATTGAAAAGTTAAGAAGTTTTCTCTCAAAACTCAAAAATAATATCCACTGTCCAAAGCAATAAGCAAAGGCTCACATTTCCGACCAACTCATTGAATTAATATTCCTATATTGATGCACCATAAGTCATAATAAAAAAGAAATTAGATTTTTTTGTGCAAAAACTCAAAAATCAAGTCAAGCTCCTCTCGTCAAAATACATGAACAAAATCTTCAAATACAATGAATAATTCAACAGTGAACATAAAACATTTTTTTTCAGCAGATTGAGGATGCACAAAATGAATTATTTTGTTTTTAATATAAAACTCAAAATGCAAAGTAGGAAAAAAAAACACAAGAAGAATTGCATGAAAATGAACAATATAAATTTTAATTTGAAAGAAAATGAAAATAAGTAGAAAATCTCTATTTGGTTAGTAGGTTGGAAGCAAAAAATTCTTTATTATATGGAGCATTACATAAACCATTTCCTTATAAAAAATCCTAGCTTGCAACATAAACATTATTTTTTTTTGTAAAAATAAAAGCAAATACCTTTATGATTTCAATATTTTTATTCACTATTTTTTTTTTTGTTGAATAGGATTGGCTCAGTGTCGGAATGAATAAATTTATTTCGGTAGAAAATGGAATGTTTTTTTTTCCTTCATTGTCTGGCATAAAAAAATTGTCGCAATATTTTTTCGAAATTCCTGAATTGACAATTTAATTTTTATTGATTTTTGTGTATCCCATAGAAAGTGTTACAGAGTTTTCTTTTAGAAAGTTCATGGAAAATTTTATTAGCTCTTGATAGGATACAATTTTGCAATATTAAAACTATCATAAATTTCAAGATCAATTTAAAATTTAATGGGAGGATCAAGGACCAAATAGCCATAACAAATAAGAATCATATAAACTGATATACACGAGAATAAACAAGATTAAATCAATAGACGATTTAAACATTAGAGTAGACTCGTTTAAGATCTGATTTTTGCTTCTATCATGAAAGAACAACAATATTGTTTAAGAGAGGTTTAAAAATGAGAGCAAACTTGCTTAAGGAACAATATGGTAAAGTTTTGGACAAGTAATATTTTCAAAATATAAAAGAAGATTCAAGGTTCGGACTATAAAATTATTTAAAATAATAATAATAAACTTTAGTATTCAGACCTTAAGTTACAGAGGTGCGCTAGGGCGTCACAAGGCTAATGCTAGTTTAACAAAAGGGGTTCGCCAGACCTCCCGCTCAAACCTAGAGCTACAGTTTATAGTGGGATCCGAACCACTCCTCTACCGACATTTTTGTCTGTAGCCTACAAAGTATGGCTGTGAGCCTCATTTCCAATACATATGATTCGAAAAAGGACAAGTGAAAATTTCCCGTACCAAGTTTCGTACCCATGATCGCTGTGTCAGTAATGCAATAATTAGGTCCCGAAGCTCTATACCATTCTGCAATCGAGCCACTTCAGCTCACATAAAAATATTTGGACTCATATAAATTGTGTCAAAAACTTGATTGTCTCATCATAATTTAATATTAATTGAAAAACTGGCTCAATAGTTTTGAATTTTATAGGAACTAAACCCGCATAGGAAAGCGGTGATAATGTTTAAGTACTTTACAGATGATATCATCCTATGATTTAACTTCCATGTTCAATTTCTGTAATTTTATAAACTCAGATATTGCATTTACGTATATCCATCATTAAGTTCTGTCTGGTTTAGGCTATAAATCCCCTCATTTGTATTATTATATCTTATGAATCAGGCGTTTTTTTTGGACAGCTACTTTTGGTCTACAACTGCTCCTTTGTTTTCAAGACACAAGTCTATAATCACATAATTCTGATTTGTAGGTAGAACAAAAAATAAATCTTATGCAAATTTCTGATAAATTATCAAAATCAACCACACGTCAGCAAAGTAAAAGAAAATTGGGAAAATCATTTCGAAATGCCAAGCAATGAGTGTGGAAAGACCTGAAAATAATGTACATGAAAATATTCAGTAAAAATAAATTTTAAATGCAAATATTTCCATTGAAGCGTTGTAGATAATGACACTTGAACTAGCTTTCTTATTTATAAACGATAACATCAGATATGAGGGAAAATAGCGTGCAATCATCTAGGTATTAAATTTGCCGAAAAAGAAATGAAAAGAAGAAAATCAATCGAACTAGTTTAATGGATAAAATATAAGCATAGAAATGTACGCTCCATATAAAATGCTAACACGTTACTAGACATAAAATACATTATTTAAACGATATCCATTCGAATAATAGCTAACATGAATATGTGTATATGACTCTATCGAATAAATAGTGGAAATAAAAAAAACTGTTGAATAAATGGAAATATCGATGAACTTTTCAGAACGTCTAAAATGGAAAGATAAATATTCATAATACATGATAAAGCATAGAATCAGAAATTTCCTTCCAAAAATTATTAGGTACAATAAATTACGACAAAAATGATGAGAAAATTTTCACTTGCGATTGTTGACATTTTTATGAGCTCATAATAAAATTTGTTTGATTGTCGTTATGGTGAAATTGACTTGCTAATACTTTTGCTCTTCGCACTTTCGTGTTAGGATTGTCATGAATCAGCATGCCATCAATTTTTATAAATTTTCTATTTGTTCCACTTTAACACATTACATGATGTAAGTTGCAAAAAGTATTCGTAAAAAAATCAACATAAAGGCATCATTAGTGTAAAAGTTTTCATGCAAAATTTGATTTCTTGTTGAGCTTAGTTTTTATGACGACCTTATAAAAACGTGCATGAAATGTCTGACAAGTTGCCAATACAATTTTCTATAGGGTTGTCTCAAGGCAAGGGCTTAATAATAATTATTCACTCAGAGCTTTCCTAGCAATTAAAATAAAATGTACGGTTCTGTTGACCCTATTCCTGATTAATTAGCTGGATATCACACTGATCCTCTTCACATTGACCAAATCACATTTTAAATTCCAATTAGAAGCGCTTCAATTACCAATGCAGTCTACTAAATTGAATATTTAACGTATCATTGCCTAAAATGTCTGCAGTCTGTTGATTGACAAAAAAAAAGTCATCTTCTGTCTCTCCATTTCATTCAATGGATTGTTAATTTATTTCTTTTTTTTTTTCATTCTTATTTTAAAAAATGACAAATTCCATGATAACACATTCCAAATGTCGCTGATGAAGGAATGTTTTATATTTATTCTTGTTTGTATGTCTTTTATCACATTTCCTTTCATTCCATCAACATCAACCATATAACTGATGGTCCATTTTGATCAAATATCAAGCAATTTTGCTTTAAAATGAATCAATACACCAAGAATAAGATTACAATGTATTTATTTTTTTGCTATAAAACAGATGCATTCACGTTTTTTGGTGTTTGTGTGGCGGAAAAAGCTGCTCCTACTTGCAACATCGTTAGCATTCCTTGTGGCTATTCTATGGGGATTTGTGTATTCTTCGCATTTTAGTCACAGCGATAGCAAGAGACTGTCAATAAAGGTAAAAAGCACATTGTGTGTCAATATTTGGCATTTTTCAGTAAATATAAATTGTTTATTTAGGAACTGATGGTAGGAAATAAATACGGATTATTGCAAAAGCTCGGAATGAATAGAAAAGATACAAACTCGGAGAATGAGCCAATTCTTTTGAAGCCAACTGCCATAAATCTCCAAACCTTATATGCTTTAAATAGGAGAGGTTTGTTTGCCTTCTTTTGTGTTTAAAACTTTTGAGCTTATTGATGTAAAGTTTTTTAATTTTGATCCTTACACAGAAAAGTACTTCAAAGATTGGAATAAAATACTTTTGGATAAAGATGAAAAAGATCGAATAGATAATTTTGCAATAATTTCACGTGATGATATTGTTCGTAGAAAGATAGCAGATGAGATGAAATTGTCAGCTAATAAGCAAGCAGAGTACGAGGGGTATTTAAAGAAGATGGGTATACCTGTTATTGTTGGTCTGGTATGAAAATTAACTGCTGTATTTAGAACATAATAATAAGAATATAAAATTTAATTATTCATATACATTAGGGACCAACAAATCGTCATCATACACCACCAGATGAGAGAATAGTACATTTTGATCTCAAGGGAGCTCCAATGAAAGTCAGTTACATATTAAAAATACTTCCAATGTTGAAGACATTAGGTGCCACAGGGATTTTAATAGAATACGAAGATACGTTTCCCTACAGTGATATTCTATCACCGATTACTGCAAAAAATGCATATAGTAGAAGAAATATTATTGAAATTTTGCAAGCTGCACATTCGTTAGACTTGAAAGTAATTCCATTAGTTCAAACATTTGGACACATGGAATTCGCATTGAAATTAAAAGAATTTGTTCATCTGCGCGAAGTTCCAGAATCTCCACAATCAATATGTCCAAGTTTAAACTCATCATTCACATTAATCGAGACATTATTGACACAAGTGATTCAGCTACATACGCTAAGTCAACAGCAACAAAAAATTCTCATGACTCGTAAAGGACGTGATGATGAAAATGGAAAAGATATTCCGGAACTCACACACATTCACATTGGCTGTGATGAAGTTTATCAATTAGGTGAATGTCCACGGTGTAGAGAAAAGGTAAGCTTTTGTATATTTTAATTGTTTATTTGAGATCCAGTTCTAAAGATCCAGTAATTTTCCAAAACCAAAAAAGAAAATAAGAGACTGAACTCAACAAAACTTGACTTTAAGTTCGTAATCTTCTTATTCTTCACTTGACTTTTTGTTTTTGAAAAGGTTCACGACATGCTGTTTCTAGATCACGTATACAGTGTTGCCGCATTTATCAAAAAAAAATGGCCCAAACTCAATGTTATCGTTTGGGATGACCAAATGCGGCAGATTTCTACAGAAACATTGAGAGCTTCTAGCGTCGGCAATATGGTAGAACCAATGATTTGGAGCTATAGCGGTAAATTAACAATTTCTATTATTATATGTCAATAAGCCTAATTTTAATTTTATAATTTCCAGAGGATGTCTACAAATTCATACAGTCAACGACATGGGATAAGTATTCTCAAATTTTCAAGTCATGTTGGGTGGCTGGAGCTTTCAAAGGTGCTTTTGGTGAGACTCTTTTGATTCCACCTGGTCGACGACATTTAGAGAACACGCTAAGGTGGCTAGCAATCATACAAGGAGAAGGAACGAGGTAGCATTAACTTTAATGAATTTTTATTTAAAATTTCACAAAATTGTGTTTTAATTCAGGTTCCAGCACGGTATAAAAGGAATTGTACTAACAGGATGGTCTCGTTATGATCATTTTGCGACATTGTGCGAGTTATTCCCTGCAGCAATTCCGTCTCTCGCAATGTCCCTCCATACAGCATCAAAAGGATATTTCGATATAGATTCACGCACAAATTCAATCATTCCGAGTTTAACATGTCCAGATCCGCCTGGAGATAGACACATATGGCTGGATTTACAAAAGGATCCAAATCTTGGTGCATATTCACGATGTCTGTTTCCAGGTAGCTCTATTTTCCGTTTAATCAATCGATTATCTGCTCTCTCATCTGAAGCTCGACAATTTATTGATTCAATTAAATTTTCACGTGGATGGCTGTCTGACTATAATATTCGACACAACTTTTCCTCATCGTCACGAATAATTGAGCTTTTAGATGATCAGCCACGTCTGTTGGCATCATTGATTAATTTAGCGAGAAATTTATCTGAGCAAATGGAAGAAATGTTTGACCATTTTACTATTGGAGAATATATAGAACAACGAATATATCCATTAGTAAATGAATTAAGGAACTTGGAAAAAATTGGCGAAAGCTTAAAGATGAAAAAGATTTTTCCAGTTCGACCACTTCCGTATCTTGAGAAATTTATGAAAGAACTAGGAATTACACAAAAGACTACGTCATTATAAAGTGGGAAAAAATGAAAGATTCATACTTAATATCATGATCAAATTTGAGTGAAATTTATTAATTCCTTGGATAATTTTTTTATGGAACCAACTCACAAATACAGGATAAATCTTTTTAAAAAAATTGTAGAATATAGTTTCCCAAGTTTAAAAATTTATCACATAACTAAAGCAATAAAGAACTTCAGAAACTTGTTCTTACTTGAGTTAAACTTAATCTGAGAAAATATTTCCAAGGATGAACAAAAAAGAATTCAATGGACTGTTTAGAATTAATTTATTAAGTTTTTTGGACAACTTAGAAAATTCAAAAATTGTAGCCAAAACATATTGAAAATTTTATTTATCTGAGACAAAATTGAACGCTTTTGCCGAAGAACGTGACGTGAAAAAACTGTCATTTGGAATTTGAAAATGATTTGACCGATTTTTACAAAACAAAGAAATTTTTTTTTTGTTTACACACGTAAAATTAAATTTTATTATTTTTATATTGAGTTTATTGTACTTTAATTCAAAATGGTTAGAGAAAAACAACAAACAAGTGAACTGAACACTCAAGGATGTATTAATTCAATCAATTATTGGCAAATTTATTAGTATAAGAAAAATCACTAATTTTATTGTAAGAATAACCGTTGATCAGTTTTAAAAAAATTCTTTGTTTTGTAAAAATCGGACAAATCATTTTCAAATTCCAAATGACAGTTTTTTCACGTCACGTTCTTCGGCAAAAGCGTTCAATTAGTAGATGATAAACTTTTGGAGGCTAGGTCTATAAGTATTAAGAATAAATTTTAATGTTTTTATAGAGTTGAATTATTGTCTAAACGTTTAGGAAAAAAAATTAAATAAATAGTTGACCTTGTAAATCTATTCGATACTCTTTTATATTGAGACTCGACAGAGTCAGCTTCAGGCGCCATCTAAGGGAGGCCATGGATCACAATTGATCTGTACGGCCAGCGAAGTAAGTAAGTACTCTTTTATATTTGACTTTATTTTATTTTGTATTTACAGGGGAGCCTTGATTTTAGATTCTAAAATAAGCATTTAAATAAATCCAATCAATTTATAATTTTCATATCCAACAATATTTAATAAAGAAGCTAATTCATCATCTTTAAACAACTATTTAAATATTTGAATCCTCTGTTCACTAATTAAACTAATCATCAATGTTATTTGATAAACAAGTCAGCACGTGCAAAACAAAAACTTGAATAGCAGCAATTAATCCATTGGAACGTGAAATTATCAATTACAATGAATTTCACAAAAATGTTACTCATTTAATTTTATGAGGAATTTAAAACACATTTAATTAAATAAAGCAGCACATTTGATTCACATTTATTGACTTCTCAAGAACCAGCATGATGATGAAAATTCTTTGTTTAAAAATTTGTGTTGAATATTACGTAAAGCAAGAAAAGTGATAGAGTTTGTAAACATATCATACGCTTTTTCTAAGATAATTAAGTCAGAGTTTAAAAAATTATTATTTTCCCAAGAGTAATATTATATTCGTACAATCCCTTCTTAAACGTCTAGATTGAAGGGAATTCCCAACATTTTAGAAACTGGAGATGAATATGGAAACAAAAATCCTTTCAATCACAATCATATTATGAATATTTACATTTAAAAGAAATAATCTAAAAATAAGAAATGTATAAACATTTAACTTTATGTTATACAAGAGATTGTAACTTCTGGAGCTTTTTTTTAAATTCAGAACTAGATTTTAAAAAAAGGATTGATAATAGCAGTTAAATGACATATTGGCGGTTCCGAATCTTTATTTTTAAATAGAAATTATGAGAATGTTCACATTTGATGACGAGTCTCTTTTTAGTACTAAACAGGTTCCGCAATATAATTTCTTCACGATTTGAGAGACTCAATCTTTGAGTAAAACAGTTGTTACTTAGCTTTGAGATGATCAAGTCGCAAAAAGAAAACCTGGTGAGTTTGAACTTTCATTCATAGTAACTCGCATTAAGCAAACTAATGACACCTCTAATGTTGATTATATAAACACAAGACTTAAAAAAATGACTATTTATTCATTATTACTGTCATAGACTCGTTTGGTTAAAGCGTTTGAACGTCAGAATGAAGAAGAATTTAAATACATCCTCGATACATTTGCAATCAGAACGGATATAACATTGGAATGTATTGGAATTGATGTGTCAACTATTGAATATATTCTTCAGACTCCAAACTCAAGGAATTTTATTCAAATTTGTTTGTATTACGGACTTGATTTCTACAAGGTAAGCAAGATAACATAACACATACAAGATGTTCTTACATGCCTATTTCTCATACAGAAAAATTCCATGGGTCAATATCTTGCGTATTATGCAATTAAATCAATGTCTGCAGAGAATTTGGAAACATTAGTTAAATATTCAAATTGCTATCCACTGACGGATCCAAGCAAAAAATTAGCATATCAGTTAATAATTAACAACAAAGTAGGAACAAAAAACAACAATTATCTTCATGAATTGATCGAGAAATTAACAAAATCAAATTTTTTTGAAAGCCTCAAAATGATAGAACAGTTACTCAAATGTGGCTGTAATGCAAATCATTTGAATGATGAGTCACAAAGTCCACTGGATATACTATTAGAAAAAGTCAATGATTTATCGATTGTTGAGATTGTTAACATGTTCGTGAAATATCAAAATATAGAAATTGGTGATAATGAAAGAAATAAGCAAGCTGTAATTTCTTTGGATATAAGTGATAAGGTGACATTTAGGAAGCAGAATATAAGTGATATTTCAGAACTCTTTAAACACATTTACAATAGAAATGAGGCACAATTCATTGAAGGAGTTAAAAATATCAATCAGACATTAATATTGACAAGGTATCAAGAGCTTCTAAGGTTGACAATTCAGTGTAATTTTACGAAAGGAACAATTTACTTATTGAAGTATGCCAGAGAAAGTGATAGTCAAAAAACATTGTTGGAACTGCTGAGGGATAAAAACGATGGAATTTCACTATTTTTCTACGCTCTGTGTCTTTGTCGATGTGATATAATTGAGGAATTCTTGAAAATAGACAACATCAAGTTTGATTCTGAGAATAAATGTTGGAATGTGCTACATGAAATTTGTTCCTTAACAAAACATGTCGAAAGTGACGAAGACTTTCAAAAATGTTTTGATTTAATAATAAATGATAAACGATGTACAAAAGATATAATTAATGCTTTTGACAACAATAATAAAACTCCACTGATGCATGCCTGTGAAAATGGACATGAAAAAATAGTATTGGAACTATTAAGAAGAGGTTCATACATAGGTCACACAAGTGTATTAAACATTTTAAGTGAAGAGACATTGAAAAAATTCCTAGATGAATGCATAGTTCCAAACACCGACCTTAATGACAAAGACTGCTTGGTGCAAATCAATTATAAATTTCTAATATCTCCAGACATTTGTGAGAAAGAAACAAGAGCATTAGAATTGATTTCATCATTTGAAAAGTTTAAAAACTTAGTGATTCATCCTGTATTCACATCGTTCTTAGAATTGAAATGGAAACGAATGAATTTCTTGATTTATATTGGAATATTTCTACATTTCATATTCTTGATTTATATGAGCATTTTTATACTTAATTTCTTCGATTCCCCAGTTTACAACTCAAACAATAGATTAGATTCTAAACTTGGAATGGATCAATTTGATTCATATTCAACCGAACTTCCTTTAGACATACCGTACAATAATGATGATCCACTACCAAATATTCCGGATGATAATTCTCAAAGTGGTGGTTTTGGCAGTTTTGATCAAGGATTTGGAGGTTCTAACCAAGGTGTTGGAGCTGCAAGTTCAGGCCAAGGTTTTGGATCTTCAAGTTCGGGATTTGCGTTTCCCAGTGGAAGATCACCTGCTTATAGAGGATATGAAACGATCGGTGGTGACAAGAATATTGAGTCGAGAGGAACATTTTTAACAACAACACCTGCTATTCCACAAATTGTTCCTCTTAGTGCCAAAATCAGCCCTACATCGAATACTCGTAAGCCTGTTAATGTTTTAAAAGTTCTATTTTTGGGAAGAAGTAAAAGAGATGTTAGCAATGACTTTACAAACATGAACGAAATTGACTCAACAGAAGAAGATCACATTAAAGAACATGCTAAAACTTATTTAATTTGTCTACTTGGAACTTTTTTGTTGACAATTTATGAAATCTCACAATTTGTTCTATCCAGAAAATATTACTTTTTGAAGCTAAGTAACTGGGTAGATTGTTGCTTATTAGGACTTTCATACTATGTCCTAATTACTGATCAACGATACGATACAGATTTTCGATATTTGAGAGCCTTGTTTTTCTTGGTTTTGGCAGTTCAATGCTTCATTTTAATAGCAAGAGTTTCTAAGTTGTCCTTACAGCTAGAAATATTCAAGAAAGTTTGCAAGACATTCTTAAAGTTTCTATTGGTCTATTCCATGCTAATATTTGCTTTTGCTATGGCTTTCTATACACTCTATAATAACAAGAATTCAGAACTAAACGATCGTACGTACAACGATTCAAATCAAGAAGAGGAAGATAAATCTTTTGATAATATTTTCATATCGATCATTACAGTCATTCGTATGATGCTTGCAGATTTTGAAAGCATTAAGCTTAATCCTGACAGTCATCTTGACATAATAATATTCTTATCATTTGTTTTGTTGATTTCTGTAATTCTGATAAATTTGTTAAATGCCTTAGCAATTAATGACACTAACGAGATCATGAAATTTGCAGAAATTGTGGATATTAAGAAGAGAATCTCAATGATAAATAGCTGTGAGAAAATCTTAGTATTTTTAAGAATTCATTATTTCGATATATTCACTAATGTAATCATTGGAGGTCGGATTATCCTGAAAATAAATCAAGATAAATTCATTCGAATAAGACAAGCTTCATCAGATGGAAGATTAATTTATGAAGACAGCAAAGTGCCAGTTCCTCAATTAATTCCTTATTATAAAATTCAAAAAGTTGTGGAATTAAGCACTCCATACTTTAAACTTGGCAGTGAAACTATCGAGAAAACAGTCGAACACATTCAAAATTTGGTAGCAAGTGAAAATGAAATGAAGTGCTTGAATTGCATTCATCAAAAGTAGACATGTCGAATAATTATCAACTGTTTTGATCTAGTTCATATTCCTAGTATGACATTCTCATATTATTAATGAAGTTAACTATTTTAATAGTTGTAAAACAAATTGCATTCAGCCAGTGAAACGTACTCGTGCATAGCATGTAAATGCAAGTAAATATACACGAATGTAGTTTTTGATCGTCATGTGAAATTATATGTAAGAAGAATGATTTTGTTTTGTTTTTATTTTTATAACATGTGAATCACAGCCGGAAATTTTACGAATGAAGTGATCAAAATAAAAATGTTAAGTCAGAGAAAAAATGAGAAACTGAGCCGGTTTTTTTTTTCTCTATGAGAGATAAATGTGTGAGACATTTGATTTCAGTAGGAGAATAAGGTTGAAAGACTCAAACATTTTAAACATTGAAGAGTTTGTAGCGAGATGATCAAGTCGCAACATGAAAAGATTCTGGTAAGTTTATTGCTTATTTTTTAATTGACACTTTTTATTTATTTTTTTGTTTAGTCGAAGCTTATCAAGTCATTTGAAGAGAAAAATGTGAAGGAGTTTGTATTCTATCTTGAGAAATACTCATTAAGTAGTGATGTGCCTCTAAACAGCTTAGGAATTGACTTGACAATTACTGAGTATGTTCTTCAAACGCCTGATTCATCAAGATTTATAGACATTTGCTTGGATTATAGTTCATCACTGTACAAGGTAAATTTTTGACACATAATTAACATCAATTAACATAAAGCATGCACAATTAATAATTTAGAAAACCTTTCATTCAGTTTGACCTCGAAAAAATAATAAATTCTTAATATTATCACAGAAAAATACTCATGGACGTTACTTGCTATTTTACGCGGTTCAATCATCATCTTCAGTAAATGTAGAATCATTTTTAAAACATCTGGCTATTCAGTCAAACCATAATCCTGCACACAAATCAGTAAATGATTTAATATTGAAATGTGAGGCAAAAAATGAAAATAATTGTCTACACGACGTGATGTACAAGATGACACTCGAAAATTACAAAGAATGTGCAAAAATCATCGAGATGCTATTGTCATTTGGATGTAATCCAAATCATTTAAATCATGAATTTAAAAGTCCATTTGAAATGTTATTAGAGAAACTCGATGGGAATTTCCCAAAACAAGAAGTGCTTCACGCGTTTACAAATGCTACTCTAGAGATAAGTGACTCATCAAATTACCGAGCAAAAGTTTCAACTTTAAGCGCGCTGAATGTAAAATATCGTAACAAGAATAATTATAGCTCAGACGATTTACTCGAACTGGTCAAACGAGGAAACGAGAATGAATTTGTTGCGGCTTTACAAAATACAGCAACAGAAGAAATGGCAAAATGCTTTTGTGAGCTTATAAAATCATCGATTAACATGAATTTTGCAAATGGAGTTGTTGTTATGTTAGAATTAGCTCAACAGTCTAAGACGACTGAATACATTGTACATGAAATGCAATCATTGATACCAGAAGACATCACAAACGTAATGATTGGTGATAAAACTCCTTTATTTCATGCATTATCACTTTGCCGGTATGAAGTTGTTGCTGAGTTGCTAAAATTTGAGTCAATTAGTTTTAAAAATGGAGGAAAGTGCTCTAATGTCCTTCATGAAATTTGTTCCTTACAAGAAGTTGATAGTGATGAAGATTTACAAAAGTGTTTTGAATTGATTCTCAAAGATGCAAGGTGCGATGACCACATAATTAACGCTTTTGATAGCAACAACAAGACACCGCTCATGTATGCGTGTGAAAATCATCACAAAGAGCTAGAACGTGAGTTAATAAGAAGAGATGCTTACATTGGACACGAGGCTATAATTCAAAATTTAAATGAAAATATTTTTATCGAACAACTAAATGAATCGATGGTTCCATCAGCTGATTTGAATGATCACCAGTGTATAGTGCAAATAAATTATAAATTTTTGATCCCGCCAAAATTTTCTGAAAATCGGAACCAAGAAATGAAAGCTTTATTTTTAATAGGATCGCAACCGAGATTTAAAAATATTTTGACACATCCAGTGCTTACATCATTTCTTGAATTAAAATGGAAACGAGTGAATACATTGATGTATGGAACATTAGCTATCTACTTCTTATTCTTCGTCTACTTAACACTATTCATATTAAATTTTTTCAATAACAGCATTTACAATCCATCATCTTATACAGTAGATTCAAGATTTGGTGAGGATGATGAGCCATTGAGGAACTACCAAATATTAAAAGTTCTACTTGGAAGGTCAAAAAGGGATATACACGAAGAAGACGTAAAACACGCAGAAATGGTTTTAAGCATGACAGAATACATAAAATCCCATAAATTGTCTTACACATTGAGCTTAATTGGTACACTTGTACTGACTATATGTGAAATCGTTCAATTGATTTACACATGGAGGCAGTACTTTTTCAAATTAAGCAATTGGGTCGACTGTGCTTTATTATTTTTGTCATACATTGTACTTTTAAGAAGTTTTGGAAGCATCGAGACATTGCTTCAACTAAGAGCTGTACTTTTTCTATTAATCGCAATTCAGAGCTTTATAATTATTGCAAGAGTATCAAAGCTGTCACTCCAACTGGAAATCTTCAAAAAAGTATCTAAAACATTTCTTAAATTCATCATGCTTTACTTTATGCTAATTTTTGCATTTGCTATGGCATTTTACACACTTTATGGTGGTCAGAAGTTAGAGTTTGACAAAGATATTCTAAGATCAGATAACGATAACAAAGCTCCTGAAAAGGAAGAAGACGACAATTCATTCACAGATATTTTAATGTCTACAATCACTGTCATTAGGATGATGCTCTCAGATTTCGAAGCAGTCAAACTTCAACCAGACAATCATTTCAATTCCTTCATATTTCTCACATTTGTCCTGTTAATTACCATTGTATTATTCAACTTACTTAATGCATTAGCAATTAATGATACACAAGAAATGATGAAATTCGCAGAGAATGTTGATGTGCGAAAAAGAATCAGAATGATTAACACATGTGAAAAAGTCTTACAGTTCTTGGGAATTGAATTTTTCAACATCTATTCAAATCAATTTAAATGTGGTCGAATATTCTTAACTATTAATCAGGATAATTATGTAAGGATTAAGAAGAAAGTTGATGTTGATGGCAGAATGGTCTTTAAATATTGTGAAGTGTCTAAAATTCAAATCGATCAAAGTAACGAAACCAAAGCTTTAGAAAGTGAACAAGAATACAGAACAGATGAAAGCAGCTTCATATCTCAAATTTATGCTTTTTTGCCACTGATAGTTCTTCAATACCTACAAAACTTTAAACTCAAGCTGTCGGCAACAACAGTTGAAAAGATTGTTGAGTATCTAAAGGAATTGGAAGAATATGAACAGAAGTGAGATCAAAAAGTGTGACAAATCAATTGACTCTTTGAACTGATCATTTGTTTCGTTCATCAATTAATTAAATTGTTAACTGAATAAATGTTTTTTCAATAAAAAAATAATATTTTATCAATAATTCACATCAAATGAATTTGCTTAGGGGCCATTCACTTATTACGTAACGCTTTTAGGGGGAAGGGGGGGGGGGGGGTCTAAGATTTTGTTACGATTCAAACAAGGAAATTTTTTTTTCATACACATTTTGTTACGAGGGGGGGGGGGGTCTAAGAAGTCATTTTTTCGCGTTACGTAATAAGTGAACAGCCCCTTAGTGTTTATTGTGACCTTATAACTTCTCATAACAGCAAAAAATATCAAGCTATCAAAAATATTTTAAAATGATGAATCAGAATAAAACCATCTATGGTACTAAGAAAAATTTGTATGATTCCTCTGAAATACGTAAATTAGCTTAGTGGTTCATTAAAAAATGGGATTTTTTTTGAATTGTCGCACGATTTGTGTTTGAGATATTGAATTATCGCATTATAATGTCTTTCTGTTCTGCCATCGTTTATTCATGATTTGAATTTAATGAATAATGTCATGAGATTTTTGTTCTCAAAAATTTAATAAATGCATTGCTTTTAAAGTATTCATAATCCTTTACTACTTTAGTATTTTCATGATTTTATAATTTCGTAGCAGTGTTAAGTACAATAACAAGAGAATTGTCGGCTTCCTGCAAAAAAAGAATCATTTTTTTTTCTTGTTTAATATTTGAGAGAAATAAGAGAATTCAAAAGATATTGCGAGTATGTCTATATAAGCACAATAATAAAATGCTCACTTTAACAGTCAGTAGTCAGCAAAGAGATGATCAAGACGCAAAAACAGAACCTGGTAAGTTGATTCAAGTTTTATTATAACATTTTTTTAATCTTAATATTTTTACTCTTACTCTCTTATTAGAATCATCTCATCGAAGCATTTCGAGACAGAAATGAAAAAGAATTCACTTTTCTTCTTGAAACTTATGCATTCAACATTAATGTTTCATTACAAAGCATCGGAATTCAAGAGTCATTGATTGAGTTTATTCTCTCAACGTCAAAATCATTAAACTTTATTAAAATATGTTTCAAGAATGGAGATAATTTCTTTAAGGTATTTAAATTTATTGACATTTAACAATGATTCAGATTTGAAAAAAGTGTTTAAAAATTCCTTGTGCACAAAATTGTTCCCACACATTAGAAAATTGAAAGTTTTTGTTAATTTCTCTTGATTTTATTCTTTTAGCATCATCTACATAATGTTTTCGTTCATTGCTCAAAAAATCAGTACTTAATATAAAGGATAAACATGATTTTTAACCAAAAGTTTGTAAAAGTTTATCAAAAAATATTGTGAATGATCAAATTTTGTATGAAATTTTATGTAAACTTTGATCGCAAATATCTCGAAAACGGCATGTCCTCATTAATATGGGAGATAGATTTAAGCTTAATTAATTGATTTATATAGGTTTCAGAGAGGTCTTTGGAAGACTTTTTAACTTATGAATAGTTTAAGTTTTGTAAAAATACTCAGATTTCAATTCCATTTTTAAGGCTTAATAAGCAGATTTCTATTGAGTTGGTTGTTTTAATGTGTAAAGCTAAGCTTAAATTAGCTAGGAACTGATTCCAAGACATCCAAATAACAACTTAAAGTAGAAAAAATCATATTTTTTTTTTCATCCACAAATTGTAAACAAATTTTGGGCGAAATTAAATTAATGATTTCTGGAGTTAGACACCAAATAGGAACGACATATTTTTAAAGGATATGCATAAAGGTAAGATCTTTAATCTGGCATTTAAAAGACAAAGTTTAATTAACATGAAATTTTTGAATTTTTGAACATTTTTTTGGATTCTGAATCATTGTGCATTTCAATTCTTTAACAAAAATTATAGACGATGACTATTTACAGAAAAACTCACAAGGCCTCTACCTGTTGAATTATGCCATTAAGTCATTATGTGCAGAGAACTTAAAAACATTAGTTAATCATTTGAATAAGTCAGGTTCTGATAGTATTGTCCAGCAAATGATTACGTATAGTGAGATAGCAAACGATAGTAATCACCTACACAATATTTTGAAAAGCCTTACTTCTGAAAACAAAGACGAATGTCAAGAAATGATTGAAATTCTTTTGAAACTCGGTTGCAACCCAAATCATTTTAATGCAGAACATATTACGCCATTTGAGTTTCTTTTGGATAAAATTCAAAATGATCAAATTAAAAATGATCTGATTCAGACATTCTTAAACAATTCCATTCCTCGCATAGAAATTAGTGATTCTGAATACAACAGAAGTTTTGTGTGTAATTTAAAAAGTGAAAAATTGATAATTCGTAATCGATTAGTCACGGATATTGCTAATTTACTAGAACTAATTGATCAAGGAAATGAAGATGAATTTGTTTCAATGTTACAAGAAACGGAACTTGAGAACTTAATTCAGTGTAATTTCACTGAGATAATAAAGAAGTGCATCGAAATGAATTTTGTCAATGGAATTAAAAAATTATTGCAGAGCACCTTTGTCTCAAACAGAAGCTATATAAGAAGTGGATGTGATATAGACTCGTTTATTCCGATGGCAATAACATATAAAATTGATGAGAAGCCACTAATATTTTATGCCATTAAAAAGAGTAGGCCCAAAATCATTAAAGTATTTTTGGACCTAGACTATGCTCAATTTCAAAATGAACCACATTCTTATTCTGTGCTGCACGAAATTTGCTCAATGAATAATTTGGAAAATGATATAGATTTCCAACAGTGCTTTAATTTAATAATAAAAGATCGTCGATGTGATTACAATCTCATAAATGGATATGATTCCGGTGGAAAAACCCCATTAATGTATGCCTGTGAAAATGATCATAAAGACATAATTTATGAACTTTTAAGAAGGGGAGCATATATAGGACATGAATGCATAGTCAATAATTTGAGTGAGGATATTTTTAAGAAAGTATTGGATGAAAGCATAGTTCCAACAAGTGATATTAGTGATCAAAATTGTGCAGTCCAAATTAATTACAAGTTTTTGATTCCTCCAAAATATTCATTGACACGACATGATGAAACAAAAGCTTTAAAATTGATTGCATCACAGCCAAGATTTAAAAATTTAATGATTCATCCTGTTTTGACTTCTTATCTTGAATTGAAATGGAAACGAGTGAATGTTTTGGTCTATATAGCATTATTTCTATACTTTATATTTTTCGTTTATTTGAGCCTTTTCATTTTAAACTTCTTTAGTGATGAAAGATATGAAGGTAATCTTAGCAAAAATAATGAAAGCTTTATTAGACCAAGAGATGGAATTATAGGACATCTTACTACAACAACAATAAATCCTTTTCGAAAAGATGAACTTGAAAATATAAATGTTTTAAAAGTTCTATTTGGAAGAAAAAAAAGAGATGTCGGTAGTGAAGCTTCGAATGTAAATGACAATCAAACAAATACTTCAGCAATCGAAGGATATCAAAATTTGAAGGAATATATAGAATCGCACAGGATACCATATATCATATGTTTTATCGGGACATTAATATTGACATTCTGTGAAATAATTCAGCTGATTTTTTCATGGAAGACTTACTTCTTCAAACTTAGTAACCTGGTTGATTGTGCATTACTCTATTTGGCTTACATTGTGCTTCTAAATATTTTCGCAAAAGAAATAGTATTATTTAAAAAATTAAGAGCAGTTCTTTTCCTTATTATATCTGTTCAAAGCTTCATTTTATTATCCAGAGTCTCGAAATTGTCACTGCAACTGGAAATCTTCAAGAAAGTTTCAAAAACATTTATCAAATTCATTATGCTCTACTTTATGCTAATTTTTGCATTTGCTATGGCATTCAATACATTATATGGAACTGAAAATGCAGATGAAAAAAAGAAATCAGATAAGGATGATGATAATGGCTTTCAGAATATTTTGATATCAGTAATTACAGTCATAAGAATGATGCTGTCTGATTTTGACAAAATGAAGCTTGAACCAGATGATAGGTTCAATTCTGTAATTTTCTTGACATTCGTTCTACTGATCACTATCATATTGTTCAATTTACTCAATGCACTAGCAATTAATGATACACAGCAAATAATGAAATCAGCAGAAATTGTGGATGTTCGAAAAAGAATCTCAATAGTTGGAAACTGTGAGCGGATTTTAGCATTCTTGAAAGTCGAGTTCTTTAATATTTACTCAAATTTGATTCCGAATGGACGAATAATTATAAAAATCAACAAGGATAATCATGTCAGAGTTGATAATAAACAGTCGACAACTAAAAAATTAGATTTTGAAATGGTTTCTCTTAATGATGATTATCATGATTTCCCTCATAAGAAATATATTAAGGTTTATACTAATCAGTTAATTCACTGCTACAAACTTCATAGAAGTTTTGGAAATTTCAGATTATTAAATCCAAAGTTAACATTGGGCAACGATAACATAGCGAAAATAATTAAGCACATAAAAAATTTAATGGTTGAAGATCCATATTGAATCATATTGTCCTATTTCTATGTTCTATAAAAAAAAAGTCTTGTAAGTTGATAATAAAATAATAAAATAAATTTTAGAAAAATCTAGCGATCTTTTATGATAGAAAACATCGAACTGCAGGTGGTATAGCATTCACTTTTAATAGACGTCACTTTTCAACAACCCCTTAAAAATATTAATAATGTGTGTATGACCCAGCCTTTTAGAGGACTGTGATTCAACACAGGGGCGTAGCCAGAAAATTTTTAAAGGGGGGGCCCATTTTCGAAAATTATTAAACCGTTATTTTGTATCCTTAAATCTATATTCCAGAGGGCGAAGCCGAGCTTAGTCGACTATAGTCGACTAAAATCGACTTAGCCGGTTTTAGTCGACTAAAGAATTAACGGTTTTTTCCTTAGTCGGCTATAGTCGACTAAAACCGGCTAAAGTCGACTAAAGCCGCGACTAAGATCGACTAAAGAAGGATTTTTTGGCTTGTGAAGTATAAAAATTTCATACAAAAATTCTCTTATTTTCGTCATTCAGGTTCGAATCTCAAAATATTTTTTGACTTTTTTAAACATTCAATTTGTATTATTAAAATTGTTTAAATCAAATATTATTAAATTAAAAAGATTTGAGCTGTAAAAGTATATTTTAAGTACTCATTCAAAATATTAGTTTTATTCATTGATGGAGTATTATAAGAAAAATAAAAAATAAAAATGTCATAAAAAGTTTCCTTTTAAAATACGAATGAAATAACATTCTGTATTAAGGACTTAAGATCTAGACAGGATAACAAAAACATATTATTAAGTCATTATTTGTAGATTAATCTCATAATCTAAGTATGAATTAATCATTCTGGTTCAAGGATTCTAATAGGTACTCTATATTATGGTGCAGAAATAATATTCTATGAGCTCGTTCAGGATTTAAGGATGCTCTTTTTTGAGTCATTAATGAGTTTGATATTAAGAAATTACGTTCCGCCTGAGTACTCATTGGGTGAATAGCAAATAAAACTCTTGCTAAACGATACAGCATAGGCAAATCATCCTTGTTAAACTGTGAATACGTTTTAGAACGTTTGAATGATCATAAGCCGTTAAAAATTTGATTAGATTTCTCCTAAATATTCAAAAAAAAATGTTTGGTTAAATTATGATGCAATTAAATGTAACTTAAGTCATTTTGAATCGTCAATTGTATTTTTAAAAACAGTTAAAACTTCTACAGTTCTGCATTAAGAGTGTTTTGGGTGCATAATGTGATGTTTTAAAATTTTGCAATTTCGATTTGTTTGCCAACGGTAATTAAACTACCTATGGCTATGTTGCAATGAGTTTTGTCAAATAAGATACCAAAATAGATATGAACACGGTTAAACACAAAAAGATGTTTCAATGTCATGCTTAGATAAATTTCGAAAAAATTAAGCGTCTTTAGCAGTAATTTAATTAAGATTTTTTGGGTATGTACGATGTAAAGCACAATATTTTTAACATGCTGAGAAATTTAATAATTGAATGTTTAAAAAAGTCAAAAAATATTTTGAGATTCGAACCTGAATGACAAAAATAAGAGAATTTTTGTATGAAATTTTTATACTTCACAAGCCAAAAAATCCTTCTTTAGTCGATCTTAGTCGCGGCTTTAGTCGACTTTAGCCGGTTTTAGTCGACTATAGCCGACTAAGGAAAAAACCGTTAATTCTTTAGTCGACTAAAGCCGACTAAGTTTTAGTCGGTTTTAGTCGACTATAGTCGACTAAACTTCACTCGGCTTCGCCCTCTGCTATATTCATTCTTCATAAGTTTAAATATTTAATTCATTATTCATACATTAAATTTAATTTTTCGTGCTGATTTTGACATTTCTTTCATCACTTCCTCTACATTAACTGGTTCTTCTCTATAAATACTTAATAAAACAATTATCAGATTTTCGTAAGGGGGGCCCGGGCCCCCTATGGCCCCCCCCCCCCTGGCTACGCCCCTGATTCAACAACTTTAGAAAACTTCTAATGATGAGCGATTGATATTAATTTAAAATTTGTCAGGTATCATCTTTTCAAACATGTCCGTCTACTGTTTTAAATGCTTACAACATATTATGTTTGATTATAGCCCCTATAAACATAATAAAATTAAATATTGTAAAATAAATAGAAAGCATAATGTTTTTCTGAAATCCCAGAAATGTTTAGTTTCATCGATGATTTATGGATATTCCAATTATCAGTTTGTCTCTTTGTTTGTGTGAATTTTTAATGTGAGCAGCATGCTTATTTGCAAAATATTACTAATAACTATTAAATTTTGAGAGAATGAGAGATTTAATTTTGAGAGACTTTTTTGTGCTGCATTCCCACAATAAAACCGATAGTTTCACTGGCCACACACAGTAAGTAATCAACAGAGAGATGATCAAGTCACAGCAAGAAAACTTAGTAAGTTTATTTTTGTTTTTAATATTATTAAACGTGTTTTCAGTATTTTCGTCTATCTAGAATCATCTTAAGACGGCATTTGAGGAGCAGAATGAAAAAGAATTCCGATTCCTCCTTGAAACTTATGCGTACAATGTCAATGTGTCATTACACAGCACAGGAACTGAATCATCATTAATGGAGCATATTCTTTCAACACCAAAATCATCAAATTTTATAAAAATCTGCTTCAAATATGGGGAAAGTTTTCACAAGGTAAATATTTTGGATATACTATGATTTAAAATTTCCAAATAGACGTCTAACCAGTTTTATTTTCTGATAGAAAAATTCTGGGGGTTTCTATCTACTGGATTATGCCATTAAGTCATTATGTGCAGAGAACTTAAAAACATTAGTAGACCATTTAAATATGCCGACTTTAAAAACCCAGACACATCATATGGTTTCGTATAGTGAGGTGGTAAACAATAATAATTTTCTCCATGATGTTTTGCAAAGCCTTACTTCTGAAAACAAAGACGAATGTCAAGAGATGATTGAAATTCTTTTGAAACTCGGTTGTAACCCAAATCATTTTAATGCAGAACATATTACGCCATTTGAGTTTCTTTTGGATAAAATTCAAAATGATCAAATTAAAAATGATCTGATTCAGACATTCTTAAACAATTCCATTCCTCGCATAGAAATAAGTGATTCTGAATACAACAGAAGTTTTGTGTGTAATTTAAAAAGTGAAAAATTGATAATTCGTAATCGATCAGTCACGGATATTGCCAATTTACTTGAACTTATTGATCAAGGAAATGAAGATGAATTTGTTACAATGTTACAAGAAACGGAACTTCAAAATCAAATATTGTATCATTTCATAGAACTAATAAAGAAGTGCATCGAAATGAATTTTGTCGAGGGAGTAAAGAAGTTGCTTCTTAAAACACCTCAAAATGAAACTTACAAGGGATACTATATAGACTCGTTGAATCCGACAATGATCAAATGTGAAATTGACGATAAGCCATTATTGTTTTATCCTATAAAAATGAATCGACCCAAAATTGTTAAAGTATTTTTGGACCTTGATTGTGCTCAGTTTCAGAGTGAACTGCATTCTTATTCTGTACTCCATGAAATCTGTTCAATGAATAATGCTGGGTGTGATAAGGATTTCCAACAGTGCTTTAATTTAATAATAAAAGATCGTCGATGTGATTATAATCTTGTAAATGGATTTGATCACAATAGAAAAACCCCATTAATGTATGCCTGTGAAAATGATCATAAAGACATAATTTATGAACTTTTAAGAAGGGGAGCATATATAGGACACGAATGCATAGTCAATAATTTGAGTGAGGATATTTTTAAGAAAGTATTGGATGAAAGCATAGTTCCAACAAGTGATATTAGTGATCAAAATTGTGCAGTCCAAATTAATTACAAGTTTTTGATTCCTCCAAAATATTCATTGACACGACATGATGAAACAAAAGCTTTAAAATTGATTGCATCACAGCCAAGATTTAAAAATTTAATGATTCATCCTGTTTTGACTTCTTATCTTGAATTGAAATGGAAACGAGTGAATGTTTTGGTCTATATAGCATTATTTCTATACTTTATATTTTTCGTTTATTTGAGCCTTTTTATACTGAACTTTTTCAGTAATGATTTATACAATGGTAAAAGCATTAACAATCTAAAGGATGAAATAGGTTCAAGAATTGGTATTGCCGAGTTTTCAAGCACAATTACGCAAATCAATGAATTAGAAAACATAAATGTTTTGGATGCTTTATTTGGGAAGAGAAAAAAACGAGAAGCTAATCCATATACAGACAGTTCTATTCACTTTCCCACAGATGAACCAGAAATCACAAAAACATCTCAAATGCCGGGAACATTTTGGAATTATCCATTTGAGAATAATGATCAAACTAAACATTTAAATGTTTCAGTTCAAAAATATCAAAATCTGAAGGAATATATAGCATCCAACAAAATGTCTTATACTATATGCTTGATCGGGACATTAATATTGACATTCTGTGAGATTATTCAGCTGATTTTTTCATGGAAGACTTACTTTTTCAAACTTAGTAACTGGGTAGATTGGACATTATTATTTCTGGCTTATGTTGTGCTTCTAAATATTTTTGCAAATGATGTGGAATCATTTCGGAAATTGAGAGCAGTTCTTTTTCTCGTCATAGCAGTTCAAAGCTTCATTTTATTATCCAGAGTTTCAAAATTATCACTTCAGTTGGAAATCTTCAAGAAAGTTTCAAAGACTTTCATCAAATTCATTATGCTTTACTTTATGCTTTTATTTGCCTTCGCAATGGCATTTAACACACTTTATGGAACTAAAATTGCCGTACAGAAAAGTGAAGATGGTGATAATAATTCTAAGGATAATAAACAGCAAGAAGAAGATTACAATGGCTTCGAGAATATTTTGATATCAGTAATTACAGTCATAAGAATGATGCTGTCTGATTTTGACAAAATGAAGCTTGAACCAGATGATAGGTTCAATTCTGTAATTTTCTTGACATTCGTTCTACTGATCACTATCATATTGTTCAATTTACTCAATGCACTCGCAATTAATGATACACAGCAAATAATGAAATCAGCAGAAATTGTGGATGTTCGAAAAAGAATCTCAATAGTTGGAAATTGTGAGCGAATTTTAGCGTTACTGAAAGTCGAATTCTTTAATATTTACTCAAATTTGATTCCGAATGGACAAATAATTATAAAAATCAACAAGGATAATCATGTCAGAGTAAGAACTGCAATAGTAGAAAGCCAACCGACTGAAAAAGTATACATAATTGAGAGTGAATGTATAGATATGGTTCCTTTAAGTGATGAGAGCAACAAAACTCTGCCAAAAGTGTACACTAAGGTTCTTATTCCTCAGTTATTTCCTTACGAAAAACTTTATGTGTATCTCGAAAAGTTTAATCTTTTAAATCTTAATCTTAGTTTGGGAATCGAAAATATCGAAAAGATAATTAATCATGTAAAGTACTCAATTGAAAGTAATATATCAAATGCATAATTTTTAGAATTAATTAAAATTAATTTATTTCTAGAACTTTTGTTTTATTAGATTTCTACAATTTGTATTTATAGTCAAGCAATATTAAATGTATTTTTCCTTATGATAGAGAGAATAAATGAAATATTCACTTTTATATTGAACTTGCGATACCGCTTTTCCTCTTATACCTCACTTTCTTAATATATGCCTCGATTAATTGTGTTATTTTTTGTATGTTTATTTCTCCTGTTTTGTTATGACATATCTGTATTTAAAAGAAATGTAAATAAAAGTTATTAATTAATCAACAGACTGTCAAATTAATACCATGCAGATAATGACAAATGGACAGAATATTGACTTCTTTAAAAGTCTATATAGCAACTTACCTTCGGTACGGCTTTCCTCAGAATTTCTTTATACTCTTCTTTCGTTATGTGCTTCTTGTTGTAATGTGGCTTCAATACCAATTTAACTTCTTCTGCAACACGCTCAATCCGCAAGGATTTTTTAAGGAACTGCAATGGATATTGTGAGAAATTCAAATTTTTCAGCACACAGAATGAATATTTAGAGACCTTTACCCTATCTTTATTCGCAAGATCAACAGCGGAACTAGGAACATCATCGTCGAGCATCGTTTCATCTATGAATTATGAAAAGAAAAATTACATTTGATCAGATAAAGTTAAGAAAATGATAAAGAGTAAAGAGCTTACCGATTACAGGAGGTTTTAGTGAGTCTGCAAATGAAATGTTTCGATGCGGTGATCCATTTTCATTCATACTGCTGGTAAAACGACTCATTTTAGTTCGCAAAAATGACGAATTAGGCTGTCGTTTAACTAGAGGTGATTTTTGCTGAGATGCAGGTAGATAGTTTTCAAAAATACTTAATTCAGCTTTATTTACATATTGTAAAGAACTAGTTCGCATGGTGCTATTAAAGCTTTTGAGTGTAGAAGCTGTTAATTTTAATGGTGTAGTTTTTGTAGGTGTATCATCGTTTCCAAACGAATAGGATGCACTCGGTTCACTACTTTGTGTATCACTATGCTTAATATTATCAAAAGAATTTTTACTTTGATGAATTGACGTTTGCGGTGGAGGATCATAATCGTTATTTGATCCACCATAACCATCAGAGCTCGGAGAATATGGAGTCATATCGTCATCATCGTCGTTACTCTTATCAATTTGAGATGGTTTAATGTTTGATTTTATTGGACTTGGCACAACTGGCGTTTTTAAATCACTTCCATAAATGCCATCATACAGTGACGGTATATGAGACTTATTCATTGATGCATTAGACGAAGAAAATGCAAATGTTGGTGGTGTTAAAGGTTGTGATGATTTCTTATCAAATTCCTTTCTATTCCATAATGAGCCAGTTGGCTGTTGCTGATTTGCTTGATGTTCTTCAAGTCCTGGAATTTGGCTGGAATCTTTACTTCCAAGGAGCTGAATTTTTTCATTTAATCCTTCTAATTTGTTGCTGTTTTTGTTAATATCATTCGAATGTACTTCATTTGGAGGTGGTGGCGTTATTGGCGATGTTGAACCTGATTTCGTAGGTTCGAATGGATCGTATGCCTCATTCAGATTATTATTATTATTATTATTATTATTGTTTGTATTTTTATCATCACTCGTATTATTTGTTACTTCTTGTTGCTTGATGATATTTTGTTGCTCATTTGTATTAGGATTTACATTATTAACGTTCTGAATATCTTCAACTTCCTCAGCCTGATCATGTAATAAATTGAATGGTAGAATATTTGACTTTGTTTTAATTGAAAATTTCAAGCCTGGCTGTGCAATAGCAAGTGGTGGGGATTCAGGAGGAGTATGATGTTCACGAAGTGGCGATAAATGATTTCTATTCGATAAACCCTTTTCTAAAATCGTATCCTCAATTATTACAATATCTTTATTTCCTCCATCACGTTTCTTATTTTCACCGTCACTGTCTGATAAAATGATGACTTCTTTAGGCGATTGTGTAACTTCCTTGCCTGGAGATTTCTCTAAATCAATTATTGCAATAGGTTTTGCGTCATTCTTTCTCTTAGCCGCATTACTCGGTGGATTCATTGGAGGTGTATGTGGCTCTTTACTCTGAATCATTTCCCTTCTATTCTTTACTTTCTTGCTGTGTTTGTGTTTTCGTTGCCGTCTCTCCGTTTTATCAAACGACTCATTTGATCTAATTGATTCAGCTGGAGATGCTTGTCTCTTTTTAGATTTCGGTTTTGTTGATAATTTATCTTCACTCACTATATCTGTTTTTAACTTATTATGATCATTATTGCTATCCTTACTTATGACATTATTATTATTACTTCCAGTGCTATTGTTATTGTTGTTAAAGCAAACACTTATTACGATGTTATCACCTGATGCAAAAACTTCCTTCTTTTGTGGTTGCTGTTCCTTTGACGTTTTTTGTGATATCTTGTCGCGAGTTTCTTTACGTGAACTTTTATCTCTTTTACTCTTCTTATCCCGTTTCTTAACCTTCTGACGCTTAATAAAATCTTCATTTTTCAATATGATTCTAATGTTTTCTTGATGCTGGAGATTCGGATTTGAGACATTCATAATTTGACGCGATGGTGAAATATGATTATTCCTTAATACGGGTTCAGGTGATAAAGATGGAGATGAATGACGTTTTGATTTTGATCGAGATTTCTTATGTTTCTTATGTTGATGATCTTTCGACTTGTGCTTCCTTCTCTTTAAGCTTTTATCAATTGATCCTGAAATTAATTAAATTATTGCGACACTTAATAGTGAAATTAATTGATTTAAGTGTTAATCTTACGGGTTTTTGTGTGCCTATGTTTGCTTCGGCTTCGTCTAGCAACCTCTTGTGGCGTCAGTGATCGTCTGTTGTATGGAAAAGCGCGATATTGATCTGGTGATGAGGAATGTCTAGGCGATATCGGTGAATACCTTTTTTGACGTGACACAGGGGATAATGATTGTTTATAAATATCTCGTTTTGGTGAAAATGATGAATGCTTCGGTTGACGAGACGGAATTTCCACTCGTGATAGCGAAAAGCTTCTACTTCTGGATCGTGATATTGAGAACTCACGATTTGCAATGACTTTTCTAACATTATATCTTTCAATCTCCTTCCGTCGACTATTATCAAATCGCCTCATATTTGATCGGTTCGAATAATAATCATGTCCATCAGTTTTCCTTCTCACATTATCTCTATAGTTTCTTTCACGATTATTTCTTGTAATTTTCTTGAATGCTGATTCCTTCAATTGATCACCATTATTTCCATTCGTACGAATATTATCGCTTCTATTATTGCACTCTGACCATTCCTCATCTTCATCAGAAATGTCCGATAGCTCTATTTCCTTTGAATTATCTGCACAGTTCTCGTCATCTACACGATTTTCATCCAAACATGGAGTTAAACTTCTATTTCGTTTTTCAGATTCGCTCATTTTTCTTTAAGCAATTTTTTTCCTTCCCAGATTTTCAAATTCAATTTTCTCTTGAATATGATCTCATAATTAATCAACTCTTATTTCAAGCCTTTTCAGCAACCTTTTATCATTCACAATAATGTACTGTAATTTGTTTTCGTGCCTTAAAAACTTATTTATACTCAATTTTAATTTGGGATGAAATATATCCAAAATAAACTGAGTGTTCCGAAATTCAAATATTCTTTAACCGTTAATATTAAAAGATTTAAGGCAAATTGTGGATAAGAAAATAGTTTTGTGATAATTAAATAATAAGAATACATGACAATATAATAATATTAACATTAAGAATATACTGAATGCAATTAATTAAATGTATTCTGTGACTTTAACCAACCCCTCAGCAAACAACTGTCAAAACAATTTTAAAATTTCCACTGTGTGTTCTTCCCCCTTGAGTCATGTCCAACATTGAATAAAACTAACTTTGAGTCTCGAAGTAAATTAATTAAAAGTGAGTGAAAGCAGTATCAATTTATATAAAAAACACTTTAAATGTGCAGTTAAGGATCGAAGGTAAGTGAATTAATTGGTAGATAGTTGAAAATCTTTCATTAAAGTGGTTTTTTAATGATTTAAAAAATAAGCGTCTCTCATCGGCATATTCCCTTCCATTGAAGAAAAAAAAAACTCATCTTTCCAGTCGAAACTCCCTAAAAATTGCATCTTCGGTTTTTCATACAGCCATTTAATTTTTCCCATCATTTTCTCTACATGATAATAATAGTAAATTTAATTAAAGTCCTATTAAGGAATTTTTTTTCATACTTATTGCGCAAAGCAAATAAAGCACTAGATGTGTGTAAAAATTGTAGAGTTGGGAATGTTTCAATTTCTCACATCTTCTTTTCTGTTTCGCCCTTATGCACCCTTCTTGCATTTTCACACACAGAACATAGAACAGAAAAAAAAGCCAGCCAGACCCCAAACTCATGAAAAAATACAGGAAAGAATATGAAAAAAAAAGGAACAAAAAGAAGAATGAAAGAGAGTGAATTTCTTCAATCTATGTACACAAAAAAAAGTGAAATAAATCGATCGAAAACCCTCTTTTTAAAATATTTCGCTCACCAGACGATATGTACGTGAAGAAGAGCAGTTGCTTTAAAGTCCTCAATATATCCTTTCATCTTTCCCATATTACATACGTCCATATTCTTTTTCCTCTTGCCGCATAACTTAATTTTGTGAATTATTTTTTTTTATAATTTGTGTGGATGCACAGAGCGAGAGAGGGAGACAGAAAGCGAGGTTACAAAACGATGGCTGAAGAATTTATATAACATTTTAAGAATTATTCTAAATACAAAATTGAAAGACACTTTTTTTCACAACAACATAAACTTGTTTAATCTTAACGGAAATGGCTGAACATACAACAACAAATTATAAAATTCAAACTAGCGGTCCGTCGTACATGACAAACTACTATAAGGTAAAAATTATAATTACGACAATTAACATCTACGACCGAATTAATTAATATCTTGAATTTTATAATTTTCTCAAAAAAAAAAATACTTTGAACTAGACAATTAAACGTCCTGCCACGACTAGTTCGATTGAAGAAGATTCGCCATTACCAAAAATTTCAAAAGTAGCTTATGAAAAAACAAATGAAAAGTATGTAATAAATCCAAAAACACAACGTGGTAAGAGTGCATTCAAAGAGATTGCCGGTGAGTCGGCGACGAGATATGACACAAGTTTGGGATTGCTCACAAAAAAGTTTATGGACTTGCTGAAGGAGTCGCCCGAAGGTGTTGTGGATCTGAATGCATGCTCTCAAAAACTACAAGTACAAAAACGACGAATCTATGATATCACAAATGTTTTGGAAGGTATTGGAATATTGGAGAAGAAATCAAAGAATCAAATTCAATGGAGCCGAGGAAGCAATCGAACGCTCTGTGATGGATTAGAGATTGATGAGAATTTAAAAGGTCTCCAACAGAAGGAGAATCAACGTTTAATTCAAAAAGAGAATCAACTTAATAGTCTGATTGTTGATCTGAAGGAGCACTTCAGTAAACAAATTGATCACAAATACGCTTATGTTACATGTCAGGACCTGAGTAGTACCGAATCGTTTAAGGACCAGCTACTAATTACTTTACGTGTGCCCGCTGACTCCAAATTAACGGTAATATTCTCCTTAGTTTTATCAATTTTCACTTAATTCCTTAAAACATAACTTGTTCACAGATTCCTGCTACGCCACTTCCAAGGGAAATACATTTTAAAAGCGACCGAGAAGAAATTGAGGCATTTGTCAGTCGCGAAGCTCAGGATGAAGACTTAAAAACAACATTATCAGAAACCAGTGTAGACTTTAAATCACCTAACAATAGTACTAGCAATGAAAATGAAGTTTTTGATAATTGCTTAGGAGAATCGTCATCGTATAGTAATATAATCCAGACAACAAGTCAATCGGAACTTAATGTCGATTCGAGTCCAAAAGCAAAAAGAAGTCCACTTGACTTGAGTCCCGAGAATTTCTTCATGACATCTAATGAAATTAACGGTAAGTCTTTATTTTCTTATCATTCCTTTCACTTTTCATTTAAATCACATTTCTACATTAATTACGCATTATAAAAAAATCTCTTAAAATTAAAGTCTATAAATGTCTGACTAACATAAATGTGATAAAAAAACCCATTGGCAACGCACTTTCATATTTGGATTGGAGAGTCATCACGCATAAATCACATTTCCTAACGAGAACTTTTTCTGTGACTGCCCTTCACACAATAATTGTGGCATCACAGTCTGAGTTCTTGACTAGGCGATGCGCAATTTTGATCATCATAATATTCTCACATTCTATACGGCATCAAATGTAGATTATTATATATATGTAAACAAAAAAAAAACTTGTATAAATAAGCAAAACTCATCATTTGTGTTATATTTGGTGCATGGTGCTGCATATTTTCGGCTAATATGACTAACCTCTTTTTACCATTCTAAGAGCTGGATTCTTGTGGATCTACACATAATTATAAAATGATTAATTTTTTACACATTAAAAAATTGCATGCTTGTAGCACCATAAGATTCAGCTCCTATGATGGTAGCAATTCACAAGATATACAATTATTCTCATCAAACAGTGCATTATTTTTGCTAGTTATAATTTTGGGAATTTGTCGGTTATGTGATGGTTTTTATTTAATTTAATTAAGAAGAACAGAATTGACACAAGAAAACCTAAAGTTCATTTTTTTAATTACTATATCGTGCATTTTCCTAGAGCCATTCAAATGTTTAGTGTCTTAAAACCTTACAAAAGCTCAGAATTTGTATGGTTCTGAAACTGATTTTTGTCTGAATTTGTATGGTTCTGAAACTGATTTTTGTCTGAATTTGTATGGTTCTGAAACTGATTACTGGGGGTCCTCGATTTGAGTAGATTCTATTTGAGTAGATTCGATTTGAACAGAAAATTTATTACCCACCAAAATATTCGATTTGAGTAGATTTCTTCCTGTTTTCTTCGATTTGAATTGTTTACAAAACAAACATTTTTGATAAAAACATTTCAGAAAATAATTTTAAAACATAAATTTTACTGCGATAAGCGTGAACTTATCATATTGATAGAAAAATCGATAGTAAAGTTACAAAATTAAAGTAAAAATTTAAAAAATCGATATAAAATCAACGATTTTAAAAAGTTCAAATTCAAAAACCTTACAAATTGTTCAGTGAAATAACATTTGCAAGGTTCTCATATTTTTGTTTTGTTTCAAAAACATTTTTTTTGTGCATTTCCGTTTAAAAACAATATGAATATTTAAAAACAATATGTTGAAATAAATTAAGTTATCTAAAACACAAAGGAAAAGTTAAGAAACGAGGTAAAATGTGCAAAAAATGATCAAAATTTTCATTGTTTTGATACATTTTTTGGACTCAGGAACAAAACATGTAATTTTGTATGGATTCTTTGCCTCGATTTGAATAGATTCGATTTGAGTAGAAATTTTTTGGAACAAAACAACTACTCAAATCGAGGACCCCCAGTATTGTCTGAATTTGTATGGTTCTGAAGCTGATTTTTGCCTGAATTTGTATGGTTCTGAAACTGATTTTTGTCTGAATTTGTATGGTTCTGAAACTGATTTTTGTCTGAATTTGTATGGTTTTTAAACATTTGCATTTGCGAGGTTTTTATATTTGGAATTTGTACAGTTTAAGATAAAATTTGAATTTCCTTTTTTTGAAAAATAATCTACAAGATTCACTAATTTCATTGTTCTCATTATTTACAGAAATATCAAAATTCATGGCACTCGAAGTACCAGAGGATTACAATTACTCTTTAGGATTACAAGAAGGCGTTATGGATTTATTTGATTTCGTTTAAACTGTTGTTTCTATTAATTCTTTCTCAATCGAAAAGATCGTCGCTTGTATGAATGAATAATTATGATAATTTTTAATCTACTAGATTTTAAGGATAAGATGAAGAACAAGAAGAAGAATAACACACAAACAATTTGAAGAAAACATGAAAAGAAATCATTGTAGGAAAGTTTTGCCTATATTTTTTATTAAAATTTCCATCTTGGTTTTTTGTTAATTAGTAGTATATTCAACCTTTCAAATTTTAAAGGAAGTAACGAAATAAAAAAAAAGAAAACAAAAATCGCATTTTGATAGGAAAAAATATAAGAAAAACGTGATCTGTGTCCTTCATTTTGAAAGTGAAAACTTGAAACTTCCAGATTTTGCGCAATGCATGATAATCAAATTTTTTTTGCCGAAGAAGTATTTCATTTACTTCAGTGTGGGATGAAGCAATAGACGGAACGAACTTCCACTATTCATTTTCTTCTTCCTTATCTGTGGAACTGAAGGAAAATGCATGTTGTATATTTTTGATTTGTGGAAATTTGATGAATTTTGATTGACATCCGGTTCTTTTCAGGAAAATCCCATGATCATAATTATTAATGCTTGGTTAAGCTATCTCAAATATTTTAGCATGAATTAGGATTGTTATAAGGAACATCATTCCTAAGGAATCTAATTGTGACTTGCCATAATATAGCAAGTAATAAGGTAAGGGTCTTTAGGTGCTTATAAATGGCTGGTATATTCAGATAAATGCAAACTGTTGTGCTGACGAGTACGTTAATTATATGCTCACTTGATACATTCATAAGCTTGTTAAGGTGAGTATTAACAACACATTTAAATAGAAGATCTGATTGTAAGAACAGTATTTTTTAAATAAGTCCCCGACTCATCTGTTTTTTAATAATAACACGGCACCTAATTTTATAAATAATCGAAAATCATAACGATGTATTCACAGCATAAAGCTAAGTGCTAAGTGATCAAAAATGTCTAAAGAGAAACGTATAAAATAACCGTCATTAGAAATTTAAAAAAATGGTTGATTAAAAATTGAATTTTTTTGTGTAACGCAGTCACAGTCCCTACATATTCGTTGGCCAAACAATTCACTTAAAATCAGAGAAAAAAGTGATAATTAGTGTATTAAAGTTTAGTTTAAAGTTTAATTATAATAAACGAGTAAGTATTACGTGGGAGTTACTTCATTAAAACATCATAAATGCTTGAAATTTGTCGTAAAATTTGAATACAATTTTTTTTTCTCTAGTATAACGCGTTTAATTCTTTATACTCAAAGTTTATATCTAAAAAACGGGTTTGGTGTGTGCTGAGAGTTTTTGGATTTTCTTATTTTTGTATCATCATATTATTGACGTTGCACAACGTGTTATTTTTATAAAAGTTGATATAATCTTATCAGAAAAATCATTTTTTTATTAATAACATAGATTAAAGACGATCAAGTATAGTAATAAGGAGTTAATTGTGAAAATTAGAGTAAGCCGACAAGAATATTAAGTTTCTAGTGCATTAATCTAAATCATTACGTAGTCGGAATCTTTTTTTGATAACAATTTTTTTAAAGGTAATTGATTGAGCTGGATGTTTAAAGTCCATAGAACTTTTGTGAATTAATAACTGATACTTTTCATACACATCATCACTTTTTTTTCTAACAAAAATTTATTATCTCCTCATAACTTGAGTAATGAATTAATTATTAAGGTTGAACTTGTTACTTTCTATTCGTTGGAAGTAGGCAGCACCAGAAAATAAAATATAAGAGATAATGTAGATTATTTGTAGAGTCATATTTTTAAGAAAGTTTAATTAAATCAGAAACATATTAATATGCATCAATTTTGATCGTGATTTTTAACCTCCTCTTCCTTTAGTTTACTCGATACTGTAAATTTCAAATAATTTAAATAAAAAAATAATTCAAATGGCATCAACAAATAAACAAACTAAAAATAAACAGAAACCACAGCAGCAAGTTTCAAAGAAGGTAATTAAGTATTTCTTAACTGCATGACATATTTCATACTAACACTTGATTTTCTGTACATTTGTCACCAAAATTTATTTTTAAGTGAGTTTTAATTGACCAAAATTTCTGTTGTATACTTTCTCTGTCATCTTGCATGTATAACTTTAAATTAACTCTAATTCACTTTGTACTTTTAATTCGAACATTTAAGGACATTCCAAATCCTCCCAAAATGACTGATCAGAAAAAGCAAAACAAGAAGCAAAAGAAAGCTTGCGATGGATCATCAAAGTCTTCTTGCTGTCCATGGTTTTTTGGATCTCTGATACTTTTTGGAGTTATTGCTGGACTAATTACGTACGAAACAAACGTCTTATACGGTGGAAAGTTCGAAGAAACAGCTGTTGGTCGAGTGCTCAAACAAATGGGTGCTTTGCCTCATGTTGAACATGCTTGGTTCACATCACTTAAATATAGTGCACGAGGCTATAAATGGACCGAGGAAAATGCTCCAATTGCTTATGGCAAATCGAAAACATTCCTCGAGCCTTACGGTGAATTTGCTAAAGATTTAGGCATCACAATACTCAATACGGGCAAAAAAGGCTATGAATGCACAAAAGATTTCGTCTATGAGAAAATTCCTGTTGTCTTAAACTTCATCGATAGTTATGCGCCAGGAATGGGCGATAAAATTAGCGAAGTTACATCAACAACAATTAAAGGATTTTGTAGTATAACATGCAATACATGGAGGCATTTTGTTGATTTCTTCAAGACTAAAGTTTTTGTGTAAGTATGAAAATTGCTTAATTTAATTCCATTAATGACGTACGTCTAGTTTGTAAAATATTAGTCTACGTCATAAGTGAATGACCTACTAACGGCATCGTCACTTACCATTCTTCTTTGACTCTCTTTTTAGTGGAAACTTCTCGCCAGAGAATTTAGGAAAAATGATGAATACAACATCTCAGCGTGCTCTGGGCTATTATAGTTGGTTCCACGAAAAAGTAGACTTTTATGCTAAGGTAGAGTAGAGTTTGGTTACTGCCAAAAAATCACAAGTAATTGTCAATGTAGCGTGAAAAGTTCTCAAATATATAAAAAAAGTAAGATTAAATGTGAATCAACAACAGAATTGAACGTAACTTAATTTCATTTTTTGGTTTATCTTCTTCTTTTTTGGGTTTTTATTTCTCTCATTTTTTGAATAACTTAATTAAAAAAATCAAAATAAACTTTTTCATCTCTCAGAACCTTACAAAAAAGTTAATGATTTATAAAATAAAAAGTACTACTTATATAAAAAAAAAATAGTAACATAAAAGTTAATTCTTTTAAAGTTCATCAAGAATGCAACCTCCTTTTATATTAAGTTAGGTATCACACGTCATTTTTTGTTACTTTTTGTTTTGCTTGCTTTTGATAAGTATGTGGGTTGATTGCATACAGAAAATTTTTGTTTTGAAAGTAATTTATTGCAAAATTAACAAATTTTGTGCTCACTATAAAAAATTGATTATTCATTTTTTTCCATTAAAAGCAATCGTATGATTAATTAATCTTTTTCCATGATGATGTACAATAGATTTGATTCTATAAACTAAAATGTATGAACTTGATTAGACTTGGACTGTTTTTCTTTTGAATTGCAAATTATTACTTTTGATTTTTATCAATTTGTGGTGAATTGTTGTTCATTGGATAATAAAGTTATGATGATTCTATTGTAACTTCTTCTGTATAAATTTATTGGTGAGTTTCAGGTTGAATTTAGAAAATTTTGATTTAGGACGGATCAATTTCAACGGCTGTTTTAAAATTCAAAATTTTGAAACCGTACAATTTTTATTCAGAGCTATACAAATGTTTGAAATATTGGCATTTATATGGTTTTAAAAATTAGCTTTAAAATGGAACAAGTTAAGAAAAACGTAGTAAAATACCTTGGAATTTTAAGCACAATTGAAATCGATCAAGTAAATTATTGTTCCTTAGTAAATTTCAGTTCAGTTAATTTTATTTCTTCAACACTTTCATCTATTGTGGTAACTTAATTAATTTTTCAGTGATAGAGCAATCCTGCAACCTCTAGTAATATTAAACTTAATAAATAAGCGTGTAAAAATGATAGAATTTTTGGTTGAAAGCTGACTAAACACCTTTTTGTAAAGAAATTTTCAAAAAAAAAAAAACATTAAATCTTCCTTTGAATGTTAAAATTATTATCTTTGTGTTCTTGATATAAAAACGTGTCTACTACACTATATGATATAAATTAATTAACAAAACAAAAGAGATAAAAAATTGAATTTAATTCAATTGAACAATAAATAATTAAAAACTAATTTCAAATATAATCAAATCATAGGATTTTAGGATACTGATAAGCATTCTTTCATGAACGTCATATTATGTTATATGGATAAGATCTTGTTGTTGCATATTTTGTGCGAAACGTGTGTCTTGTTTTTTCTTTCATGACATAAAAATATTAATTTAATTTCTCTATTAAAAATTCATAAAAAAAAAACAATCTTGACTAGCTTTAAGAAAAAATTTGGTTTTTTGGTACGTCAATAGTTCATTTCATCTAAAAATTAATAATATACGATACTATGAATTACTAGAAATGCCTTTCATCAGTCATTAACAATTATTATGTATGTTTTTTTTTTCTTAGTTTTGTTTCAAACAAAATTTACAACAAGTATAAAAACAGCTAATAACCACTAATCGTCGCTCATGACTTCTTTTCTTGCCTGGAATTTCCTCCACGAACTACTCGTACAGACTCCTTAAATATATCAATCTGAATTAGCATCAATTTTATGTATTATTTTGATAATCTTACCTTGTCCTCGCCACCAATCGTTCACGTCCTCATACCACTTAGGCTGACTAATTGATTCTTCGTCGTGCAACATCGAACATACTCTACACCTGTATAAGTCAAAGAGTTGAAATTTAAATTAGAATTAAAAAGGAAACCAGAAAATCAATTTTTTCATAACGTGGAACAGGAATTAAAGAGGCTAGGAGCTTGGAGCTAGGAATCAGCCCAAAAATAACAATCTTTATAAATTATAAATTTTTTAACTCTTTGTCCCTGGTACGGAAACAGTTATAAGTGTGTCAATGCTAAAACTGATTGAACTCGCAGCAAAAGGAATAATGATTGAAATTTGAATCTGATATCTTTCGAATATGATGTCACTTTCTAAATAATAACAATAAAAATAACTTCCAAGAGATTCTTCTGAAGCCTATTAATAAAAGGAGAACCTTATACCAAAAACCTATCTTTTTTAAAGCCTTGTGGCATTACTCTACAAAGTACAAAAACATTAGTCAACCATAAATTTAATCTTGGAAGAACAAAATAAAAACCATTTCTAAGAAAAGTTTAGCTTATCAAGTTTATAGCCAATAAAAAATTGTTGAGTGGATTTTTCTTTTGAAGAAAAGACTTGCTTCATACCAAAAATAAGTGTTTATGAATTCTCCAGTACTCTTCCATTTGAAATATGAATTGTAGAGTTCATCATTTTTGTCTAATATATGCAAGTACTCTGCCAACTCTTTTGCGGAACTAAATTCATCAATATGAATGTAGCTTTTGAGTGGTGAACTCATTTCATAATCTGTAAAGAATGATTCAAGTTTAGATATAAGATTGTGTTTCGAGAAATATTAGCATACCTTCAGGTCGCGCACCCATCTACAGAAAGGATGAAGAGCATAAGACATAAATTTAATTTTCATTCTTTTAAATATTTTATAGAATATTCAATTATACTTACGACAATGGGAAGAACATTACGAGAAAGGCCATTAACAAAGAACTTTTCTGTGACGTAGTCTTTGCAATTTGAATTTTCGAATGCCTTAAAATGGAGAAATTCATAAACATTTGAACGGTTTTAAAAATTTATATTCGTATGGTTTTTGGTTTATTTTGCAATCAAAACCCTACAAATGTTTTTAAAATTCAAATTTAACTTAATCGTTAAAATTTTAAATTCATTTCAACAGTTAAAAATCGACAGCATCAATAATTACTCACCAAATAAAATTTATAATCTCGATCGAGAATTTCGAAGCATTTGTCAGCATTCGATCGTGAACATTTGAAATTTCCACAAGCTCCATAAATGTCGACTTGAATATATTTTCCTAGTTCTTGTGCAAATTGCAACCGATTGTTTCGAGCTGAGCAGTTGGAGACAAACCATGCTACCTTTTTCGTCTTATTAAGGGCATAATTTCTATCTTGTTCTATGTAGGTTACTTTAGGATCGAAATATTGCCAATTTTCGTATGGTGCAACAATATCAGAATCTCGCCTATAAATGGAAATAATTAATCAAACTTTCTAGAGCATTGCCAAGGAAGGATAATAATAATAATTGAGCTTGACAATTCACCTGTAAGTGGATGTCCAATTAAAAACATCTGGAAATTTGATATGCTGCGTGTGATAAGGACATTCAAGGAAATAAAGCATATAAAGTTGTGTAGGATGTTTTGGAACACCTGTTGGAATGAAGTGGTCCTTATAAAGTATCAAGTCAGCATCTTTAGCTGCATCACGATTTTGTGTTATTGAACACGTGTCAACAGGACATTTTGAAGATGTAAAAACAGCACGGCCTACATAAAAAGACATTTTCTTAATTAGTCAATCTCGAAAATATAAGCATGCAATTATATCCACCTTGTTTAATATTATTCCATGGTCCTAAGCCATTATATAATAATATAGTCTTTAGTCTACCACTATTTCTGATTTCTTCATAATTTGGCGGAATGAACATTAATTGATTGGTGATTCTATCACTTCTAGAATCTTCTGATGGCGTCAATTTTGCCAGTCTCTTATTTGTCTTTTTATTGATTCTTGCTGGCTTTGGATATCGCTCTCCATTTGTAAAGTACCAAGGTCTCGTCACATACACTGACTCATCTCTGTCTATTTCCACTTTCTTATCATCATTTGACACTGTATCTTCATTTATATTATTATTACTATTTATTTTCGATTCTAAATTTACTTCATTTGATTGGGGACGTTGCGTGGTTACATGTTTCGGTTGTTGATGCTAGAATTAACAATTTCACTCTCATTACACTAATCATCTCATTATAACTGATTAAACTCACATCAAAATTATTATTATCATGAATATTTTCAATTTTCTTGTCTGCATGATGCTCTTGGTGATGTGTTGTTGGAACTAACACCTTGTTATGCCATATTTCCTTCTCTCTAAATAAATGATGAAAATGGGAAGTATCATTTCAGGTGTAGCTCATTATTATTTATTTCTCACAACTGTTTATTTAACAGCATATGATCAAATAATTAATAGTAAATATTGTGATGTGTCCCTGGATGTGTCTGAATATGAAGATACGTTTTGGGTCGTTCACTTCTTACATCCAACATTAAGGGGTTAGGGAGTGGGGAGGGGGGGGGGGGGGTCTTAAAATCATATTTTTTAAGAACGTCATAAGTGAATCTATGTTAATTTGAACTATTTAATTGTTTTCTGGTTCTCTAAATGATTAAAAACCCTCTCAAATGTCAATGAGTTTCAGAACCATACAAATGTTTAATTTTGCCAAGTGTTTCAAAACCATGTAAATTTTTTTGAAAATTTCTATAGGTATTCAAAAATTTTAAATCCGTTAAATTTTCAAAACCTTTAATATTCGAAAACTATTGATTAAGTCACATGGAAATTATGCGAAACAACTGATATTACATAGAATTAAATTGTATTTCAGTATTGTTATCAAACTCGTCAGACATTGATTTATGTAAGCTTATTAATGGCAATAAAGATATTCCTTTAAAGTGTATTACGTTCGAAACACGTGGCCAGCAAAATAAATTGTTGGAAATTAATTCTAATAGAGTGTAAATTAAATTTGACATTAAAAGTGCTAGCCAAAAGGCAATCATCATTAGTAGATATAGATTTGGACGATAAATTGATTGGAAAATTAGCAACAAAACAAAAAAATTAATCAAACATTATGCGGAAGTTATTAAATGACTTTTTTGTACATACCTAAGATTTATCACAAATAGCAGGAGAGCACAAAATATAACAAGAATGATGAAACACCGCTTCAGTGAAAATTTTGGAAGTCTCATTTTTCTACATAAACTATTTGTTTATTTTTTGTTGTCACTAAACTAATTTTAGCAAGTACCACTAGCAATATTCTGTTTTTCTTATATTTATGTACAGTATAAACGTTCCTTAAATTTATATAAAAAGTGTTTCCTTTTGAGCTTTCAGCTGAGAGTAGACGTAGATTCAGTTACCGAATAAAATCGCTGGTACATTTTTACTTCTCACTTCTTTTGACTAACTTGTGCTGTGCATTGTGTTCACAATACGTGTGAACTCCTATATCGCTGTCAAAAGTAGGGAATAAAAGAGTATTTTTATTAGCATTGAGCAACCAACACATGTTTCTATTGCATGTAAAAACAACTGATAAAAAAATGTTTACCGGTGTTAAATGAGAATGTTTTTTTTTAGATAACAAGCATACACCTCAATCTTTCTACTTTCAAACCTTAGATTAATTTAAAGTTTAGTGATATTCGAATGGAAACATCGAGATAAAGAATCGGATTGATAAGCACACATAGGATAACTAACTTAACACGTAAGATTTTTCACTTTACATCAGAGGTTCTCAAGCTGCTACTTTGTGGCAATATCTTGTAATTTAAACTTTTATGGACACTTGATGGGGTTTGTTTAAACTAGGGAAAAAAATAATTTTTCAGTACATACCAACCCCATCCCCCTCCCCCTACTGAAACACACCTGTGTCTTAGATTATGCAAGAGAAATCGTTCAAGCCTTTAAAGGCTGTATTATAGAAACACTTTTGCAACATCACACCACAGTATCGAGTAACACAGTTTGAGAACCACATCATTACAATAGGTGGCTTTATGTATAGAACTAAAAGACAGATCTTATAATCTGTGATACTGTAATATCTATTTATGAACCAGTCAATGCTCTATAATCATGAATTATTTTTCGCAGTATGAGGTCTCCATGCTTTGTTTTTGTAAAGCACAATAACAATCACCGCCTTAGTGTGTCACTTGAAAAAATCAATCGGATGTATCAATATTTAATGGAAATTAGTATCTTGATTTTAGTTCCTTTGCCTTGAGTTTTCCAGCCACAATTACGATCGATAATTTTGATACCAAACAGACACTAGGCACTAGACACAATTTTGTAAGCTTAACTAAGAATAAACAATGTATGATGCTCCCGAAGAACTTGTTACAAACAAAAATTATCGATTTTTTTTTCCTACCAACTCAAAAATGTCTCATAGAAATCATTAAATAAAAAATTGAAGAACTCACTCAAAGAATGCCTAACTTACATTCCATTAAATTCAATTTTGCTGCAGTTTTTATTTCGTAACAATAAAAACTTTTTGATGCAATCTATTTAGAGACCAATTTTTGCACGTATGAGATTCTTATCATTTTAATCTACAACACTTTTCATTGCTTCTAAAACTAATATCGTGATTATTGAGCTCTTCTCAAATAAATAGATGTGCGGATGACAGTAAAATAAATTAAAAAACTTGTATTAAATATTTTTTTTTCTTCCTATGTCAAGTCCTGAGATAAAATACGATTTTTTCGCGTTGAGCTATATTATCTTTCTGTTTTCCTTCTCTCTATGTTCTCTCGTTTTTAATATTAAAGGTAGAATGCGAAAAATAATGTAGGGTTGAATTGTGTAAAACATCCATAAATGTGTTAGTGTCGTGTTAAGATTGAACGAAAATGCGAGACATAATATTTACATCACAAATATAAACAGATCGCTTAATTTCTGCATGAATGCATGTTTATTAAATCAAAAAGACATTTGCGAGGATTTTATTGAAGAAATTTGCAAAATTATTAAAGTTGTCAGTCAGCATGGTCAATTTAGGGGTAGTTTTCCTTTATATCTCTCAGAAATTGAGTAACCGTCAAATTTTTTTTGAATTTTTAAACTTATAATGAGCTTTTTGCTTTAAGTTCGTTCGGGACGATTCCAAAGATGAATCAAATTTTTAAAAGCTCGACTCATCCTTGTCAAATTTTCTACAAAAATAATTTAATCAAAAATCAGTTGGTTCATTAAAAGTAAAATTATCATTCGTTGACGCTTTAATTCAAGTCAAAATTTTGTTCATGGATTAGCAAAAAAAGCTTAAAAAGGTTCTCGGAGTCAAAAATTTGTTAAAAATCTTCAATTTATTGCTTTAATTAAGGCCGTTTTCTAAGTCACTACGAAAGTGCTTGGACATAAAGCAATATACGACGGTTTAATTCCTGAAGAAGCTGAATTTCCAGTCTTTTTATCAACATGACACTGATTTACATGACTGTATATATAAGCTAATTAAGCTTCTCACGTAGGAATTAATAAAGTAAAATTTATGCAATATTTTTTTTTATTATTTTTCTCCATTTAAAAATAGATATAGAATTAAAATTCTTACGTCAAATAAGGTGAAAATTATGAACATAAAAAGGAATGCAAGAGATAAGACCACAAAAGTATAAAAATCCCAACATATAATAAACATTAAAAACACTTCTCATTCAACTTTCTCCAAAATTCAGCCTAAAACTTATGCAAAATTTGTTTTGTCAATAATTTCTTATTTCCTCAATCCTTGGGATATCTTACAGACATTACCAAACTTGTGTTTCGTACTTTAAGAAAGTGTAATTTTAATGTGAATAAACCTCATAAACATTAGCGCCTAATGTCTTGATATTCTGATTCATCGTTTGTAAGACAGTTATGGAACTGGCGAAATTTGACTTATTATCAGCTGCATTTATAGACGGTACTTGAGAAGTTAATGCATTTAAAATAGGAATTATTTTCGCAAGAGGTAATGAAACGTTATTTATGTTGACATGAGCATTATTGTTCATGCTTTCAGGTGTATCCTTTGATGTTGTTGGCTCACAGTCATTAAGCTTATTCTTTCCATTTGCTGGTTCCACATAAAAGTCAGCAACCTTATCGATCACAACAGTAAATGCATTATTAATGCTGCTTTCACAAGCTTCTAAATACTCGCCACATTCAAAAACATCCATGCTGTCCGATAACATTTTATTTAATATCTCATCCTGTTGATTATGGTGCGTTTCGGCTGGTAAAATAAATTGCACTAAGTTCTTATTAATGTCCTTATCAACTGAATGCTGAATTGACCAAAACAGCTGCTCAACATCATTCAGCATAAGCTTGTCTTTAAGACTGTGATTTCTCATCACTTTAACGACATTCTCACGGATAACTTTTACAAGCTGATTCAATCCGGAACCCATTAAATGCTGTATTAAAACCAAACTATAAATCGTCTGGATCTCTTTTGTAATCTTTTCACTAGATTGCAATGTATCTTTATACAAATATCCACCAATTATGTTCAGCTGTACTCTCAAGCTTGTCACTAGTAATGAAATAGCATAGACGAAAGCTGTACATTTTGCAAACGATAGTATCTTGAGTTCCTCCCATAGTTCAATTTTTCGAGCACTTGAACAATTTGTCTTTAGTTCCGCTAATATGCTTTCCGTACTTAAAATTTTGATTATTGATTCACATAATGCAGGAATTAAACCTAAATTACATTGAAAATTCATTAAACATTAAAATTCAGTGCTGGATCTATTTATTATATTTATACCTATTATTGCTTGATCGGTAGTCTTTTCAGTGGACTCAAAATGTTGCAAACGTCTAGTCTTCTCCAAAAACTCTTTCACTTGCTGTAAATTATGCAAATAAGTACAAAGTTCAATTTAAAATTTAAGGTACGAAATTTTTACCTTTTCTTGATATTCTACGAGTTTTCTTTGAGCATATCTTATTAGAATTCCTCCAGCGATAACAACACCTCCAAAGATAAATTTCTTTTTGTGACGTCCTACAAATCCTTTAAGTTTAGATAACATTTTCAACTAATCTCTTGATTACACCTGCAATTTTGAGTTTTACCAAACAATTAAAGCTTCCTGTTTACAGCAAATTGAAATATTAAATGCTGTAAAACCTGTGATATTTAAAACTTACCATTTATTAATTATTTATTACCGATTTGATGAGAATTTCTGCAAATGTTCTTTATCGAATTTTCTTCTTCAATTTTTTGTTTACAATTTTAAGAGCTTTTTTCACACGCCTGATTTTGCTTCAAGGGGAATGAAAGTTGAAAGTTTTTTTTTCTCTAAAAAGAAAAATCAATAAATTGAGCATAAAATAGGAAAACTCTTAAAATCATGGCTGATAACGAACAAAAAGCTCTTCAACTGATTGCTGAGGCTGAAAAGAAGCTTAACTCATCGAGAGGATTCCTTGGATCATTGTTTGGGTAAGAAATCTGCTTAATCAGTGGATTAAAGTGTAAAATTATTAACAAAATTTTCATGGAAACTGTATTTCGCAATAACTTTCTTTGTGTGAATTTTCCTGCTTTTCCTTTTTTATCTTTTGTCGATATTTCTCATAATTCAATTCTTAAGTAGTGGAGCTAATAAAGTAGACGATGCGATCGAATGTTATCATCGAGCTGCAAACATGTTTAAAATGGCTAAGAAATGGCAACAAGCAGGATCTGCTTTTTGCGAGGCTGCTAACTTACATGGAAAAGCAGGAAATCGTCATGATGCTGCCACTAACTTTGTCGATGCATCAAACTGCTACAAAAAGGTACGAATCCTTCATTTGACAATATATCACTCAATACTAAAAGAATTTTAAATTTAATCCACAAAGGTTGATCCCAACGAAGCTGTATCATGTTTATTAAAGGCAATCGATATTTATACAGACATGGGTCGTTTCACTATGGCCGCAAAACACCATCAATCGATCGCTGAGATGTTTGAAAATGAAGCTAATGATTTGGTAAGTATAAATTTTTTATTCAATTGATTGTCTCACTGTTCATATATACACTGTACGTATGTTTGACCCAAAAAAGGAAAGCAAAAGAAAGAGAAACAAAAGCATTATTGATTATTTTTTCTTCAATATCCTTTATAGCATCGCGCCGTTCAACATTATGAGCAAGCAGCTGATTATTTCAAGGGTGAAGAGTCAACAAGTTCTGCAAATAAGTGCATGTTAAAAGTCGCCCAATATGCAGCTCAATTAGAAGACTACGATAAGGCCATTAATATTTATGAATCTGTTGCTGCGTCATGTCTCGATAGTTCATTACTCAAGTACAGTGCTAAAGAATACTTCTTTCGTGCTTCCTTGTGCCATATGAGCGTTGACTTGTTAAATGCACAGCATGCATTGGACAAATATGCCCAACAATATCCAGCTTTTCAGGATTCTCGTGAATTTAAATTGGTCAAAGTGAGTAATAATATTTTTTTGTTGTGTTTTTGTGATGATGTCAGCAATCAAACAATGCACGTAGTTGACGGTGTGTGTTACTGCTCACCCTTGAACTGTTTGTAATCGTTTGATTACTTATTTTTATAAACTAACCATTGACCATGAAAATTGCATTTTTGTGTTTCTATAGACACTCGTCGAACATTTGGAAGAGCAAAATATTGATGGTTACACAGAAACAGTAAAAGATTATGATAGCATTTCGCGTTTGGATCAATGGTACACGACAATCCTCTTGCGAATTAAGAAACAGCATAACGATAATCCCGATTTACGATAAATGATTTATCGCATAATCAATGCTCTCCTGTTTATCGAAACTCAAAGTAAAAAAATTAAAAAAAATTCCATTTTATGTCGTTTTTATTAGCATAAATTGAAAATTTCAATCCTAATCGTTTTTAGGAGCAATGTGAAGCATATGTCCATCTATGTTTTTACCACTTTTCATTCTGATAACGAGATACAATTCTGAAGTATATAAATATATCCATTAGAATATAAGTTTAAAAAGAAAAATCATGTTATGGCTTATTTGACTGTTATTGAAAACAAAAAAATATAAAAAAATCCTATTTTTTATTTTATTTAAGAAAATGTTTTATTAACTTAGTTGGAATGAAGCTTTTGTTTTGTTATGACTCATGGGTTTTTTTTCTACTTCTTCACATATTAATTTTATCTCGAATGTGTAAAATATACATTGTCGACTTGCATAAAGTAGCTTACTTACATATGATAATACCTTAAATTTCTACACTCCTCGATAAAGAAAAATTGCATACCTAAAATTATCACTTAATGCAGACTAATAACCGTAATAATTATAAAAATATTCTCTAACTCGCTGTTCAGTCTGTTACAGAGAAAATCATAAAATTAATATAATAAAATAAAGTATTTTGTGATTTTCAATCATTTATTTGTGACTCAAGGAACGAATAAATTGAACCTTTAGGCAAATTATGGTGCAAATTGACAATTTTATCTATCAAATCAACATTATTTCCTTTAAATTTTTAACCTTTTCGTTCCTTGATGAAATTCAACTTTTTGTTATAAAACTACTTTGAGTCATTTTTTTGGTCTTTTGTATTATATTAATTCTTTTTGTTCTTCCTGTATTATTGACACCAATTTTTTTATGTTTTATATTTTTTTAATGTATAAGAAGTAAATGAACGAATATATTGATTGTAGATAAGTCCTTAAAATTAATTATAAACTATTACATACATTAATTAAGATGAGTATGAAAAAGTCATTTGAAATCTAAAATAAAGAAAGAAGTATCAAGAGTTTTAAAGAGCATTTAATGAACTTTTCGTTCCTTTGATTAGAAATATTAGGACATTATCTCTTCGCGTTTTGATAGTATTAAGAAATCTTGAGTTTATTTTTGGCTCGTTTATGACGAGAACTTCTAAGCACATTGACTTGAGATTGTGTTTGTTTACCAAATTATTTTAGATGATTAAGCTTTGTGAAAAACGTGATTTACTTGAAGCTATTATGGTTTTAGTTCTATTCTAATTAGTGTCTAAAGTCAACGAGTTCACTAAAAGTCGTATTTCTTTTCAAAGCGACTCGGAATTAGAGAGAATGTTTTTGATGGCTCAATATCAGGCGACAGTATTCATCTAAGAACCTCTCTTTCATTAATTACTTGGAGCTGCTAGCAAATCCCTTAGTATCACTCATAAAATGCGTTAAGATTACTCGTATGACACTTTCTGAATCACATTCTTTACTTTGCATGCGTCAGACTTAGAACTGTGTTAACGAAACAGGTTTAATTATCAACACAGTATAATATTCTCTCAAAGATGTTTTGGTGAGGTTTAGCGGTAATAACAAAAACAAAAATAATGGAATTACATTTGTTTTCAAGTGCAGTCAATTAAAGGAATGTGTAGTCACACTGACTACAAGAATCGGTAATGTATTTTTCAAAAATTCAACTTGCTTGATAATAAACCTGTTCTCTACGGGAATGCTCTTTATGTTAACGCCCGTGATCTACTTACTATTATTTTTCAGGTATCCATAATAATTAAATCATAAAAACAGCAATGATCAGCAATTTCTCTTTTCTTTAAAAGAATCCAAAATATTGATGCATTGAGTATTTCTTGATTTTAATTAGATGAGATTTTATCAGGGTTGGAGTATCGACAGTTTATCATTGAGGATCTTCAGCTATCGAGTAGAATTCACAATTAGGAATTATAAGGAGTCGATCATAATTTACGTCCATTTGAATTTTTTGGGTTGTCACCTGCTTCATTATCCTACCAACTTTTTGGAAACGGCACAAAACAAAATTGTTTTTCGCCTATTCTTGGTTTCAAGACAACCCTTCGAAGGTGCAATTACTTATTAGTATGTCGTAGAGTACAGTTTTATTGGAACTGCTAATAGAAGTTTTGTCCATCTTTATAACTTTCGTCTTCTGTTTTATTTCAAAAAAATTGGTAAGGAAACTTTGGACAAAAGAAGGAGGTGCCTTATGATGAAAAGAATATAAACTGTATACTTAGCCCCTGTTTGAAGGAACTTAGTCATATACTCGTCTCTGAGAGAATTTTACTCAGTCTTTCAGTAACTGCCGAAGTGTTAACGTGTGTCGATCAATAGAGCTCATTGATTATCTCGGAATTCCCCCAAAAAGAGTACTATGTCATTGTGAGTTCTATGAAGCAATAAATACATACCGAGATTTTTTTGAGATTATGTGATGAATTAAGTAAGAAATTTGCTTAAAAAATAATTTAAATTTCTTAGCTCATCGGAAGCAAACAAAACAGGTTATTAAGTAAAACGATCAAGCACTCTTCTGTCATTGCCGTGTGATTTTTTTTTCTTTGCCTTTTGGACATAAAAAAATAAAGTTGAAAAACAGGAGACATAGACAAGTGTTCTTGCAATTATTAAAGAGAAGTCATCAAAATGCTTAGTAAGTAAACTTATTATTGTTGTGGTAACTTCTTGAGAATGTTTTCTTTTCTCTTCTCCTCTTCTGTTGAATGAAAAGAAATATCAAGTCTGACCTTGAAGGAAAAAAAAATCTTATACATAACAAAAATCATTTCTTTGACCTTTCCGTTTTATTTTTTATTTTATAATAATATTTTGATGCTATTGCCTTAATCTGAAGCTATAATTTTTCGAATTTTAAGTTTTTTATAATTCTTCAAACACTGCGAATTTTTTAAGTGTTTTAGATGCATAAAATTGTTCTAGTTTTGATGGGAACAGCAATATGCTCCTGATTTTAAATAACATGTTCTGCATAGCTTAAGAAATCTAAACACTCATTAACTGTTTATAAACTGATATTTTTTGGATATATCCTATCTAAGGCTTTAAACACACTATAAAATTATTTGAATATATTTTAGGGACATCAATATGCGTGTTTGTGTTGTTGGGTGTCTTTACTCTCAATGTAAATGGGCAGCATCCAAAAGGTGAAACCTATCGAGGACAGCAATATTATAGTGGAACTCAACAACAAACTTACTATCCGAATGATCCTTCAAGGCAAACCATTAGTCAATATCCTCAAACAGCATATCAAAATCAGCAACAAACTTATCAAAAACCACAACAACAATATTATCAAAATCCACAGCCAAATTATCAGCAGCAACCACAACCAAGCTATCAGCAACAGCAAACAACTCAACAGAATTATCAAAAACCTTATAGCAATAATCAGCAGCAATCTGTAAGACCTTTGCAGTCAAATGTCAACAATCAAGCTGTTAAACCAATTTACAGTCTTCAAAATCCAAGACCGTCAGGTTCTAATCCTAGTCTTAACACAAGATTCGGTCCAGGAGATGATCCTAATGCATATAATAATAATCAAGAAATTACTTCAAGAAAACCACCAAATAAAGTTGCCTCTAGACCTCCAAAACCAGCTGCTGTTCCTCCACGATTTGACGATATTAATAATCGAAAATTGACTTGGGATGAACAGCTTACAAATAATGCTGAAAAGTTTGCATTGCTTTTGTTTGCATATTTGGCTGAAAGCGAGACTGGAAACTTTATGATTTCACCACAGTCTATCCATAACTTATTAGACCTAATTGCTGAAGGAGCCTCTGGCAAAACTTATGATGAACTTAACACTGTTTTGGGTCTTATCAATAGACAACGTACACGTGATTTCCATCAATACTCTAACTTAGCATTAAAGTAAGTTTTTTCCCCATCCATAAGATTCCTGGAAATTCCGTTACTTTACACAATTTTTTATTATAGTCGTAGTGCAGCTGACGTCTCAGTGCGTCAATTTTCTGCATTGATTGGAGATGTCAACAGACCAATTGGAAGAGAATATGAGGATGTTGTGGAACAAATTTATAATGCTGATTATATTCCTGTTAATTTTAAAAATATCGAAGGAACATTACGCGAAGTTAATGATGTAGTCTCAAAAAATACCAATGGACAAATTAGAGAAGCTGTGACTCGAGAAGACTTGTTAAAGGTGAGCAGGTTTATAATTATAAATTTGAGATTTATTTATTAGATTAGAAAAAAAAAATCCTTGTAGGCACAATTAATATTATTGTCTGGAATCAATTTCCAAGGCAAATGGAAAAGTGTATTTAATACATCATTCACGAAACAAGAAGCATTTAAAGATTTTGAAGATAAGAATGTTCTTGGGAATGTCAACATGATGTTCCAACGCGGTCCTTTCCCATTTGCAGCTATTAGAGATTTAGGATCTTATTTCATTGAATTGCCTTATGGAACTGACGGAAATCTTGTAACCAGTCCAGATCAAGTGAATGACGATCGTATTTCCATGATTCTTGCTTTACCAAGAAAAGGACTGCCTTTATTTGAAGCTATTGAGAACATCTACAAATTTGGATTCAATAAAGTATTGCTTGAATTAAAGAGAGCTAAAGAGGAATATGAAGACGATGAAGTCGAAGTACACATTCCACGTTTTGAAGTTGAGACATCAATTAATTTAGTACCAAATTTGCAAGAAGTAAGTTGTTGCTAGACTTCAAGTACCGTTCATAATATCTATTTATTTTCTCGTTCATTTTAACTTGTCTAGATGGGAATTAATGATCTCTTTGATCAGTCGAACGCCAACCTTGAAAGAATCAACAGCAATTACTTTGTCTCATCAGTTCTTCACAAGACTAAAATTCGTGTTGATGAGAAAGGAACCGAAGCATCTGGCGTAACAACCTCAATATTTGCAAATAAGGCAACACCTCCAAAGTTCCATGCCAACAGACCATTTCTTTACTTCATTGTTGATAAATCTACCAGACTTATTCTATTTTCTGGAGTTTATCAGAAGCCAGCATTGTTTTAAACTTTTTCTTTCTACCTTATCGAATTTAATGCTCTTGCTTTGATCTGTATGCCTTAAGCCATCGTTTTTAAATAACCTTTACTTTGATTATTTTTTGTGAATCAATTTTTAAAATAAATCTAAATTCTTAAACATTAATTTTATTCTCTTAAGTATGGCTGATAATCATTTACATACTTTTCGTTACTACTTTCAGCACCAATAGCACATGCCAACATTGTATTGATGTTTTGTTCCTCCTTATCACCAAAAACGTAGCCATTTGCTTTATCAATTAATTTTCTTAATCTTGCTAAGCTTTCCGTTCGGTTCACATCAAGTGGCTGGAATGAGACGAGATTATATCCTTCAACTAAAGAAACAATAGCTTCATTTAGCTTCTTATATTTCTTAAATTCAGGCTTTGTTTCCATTGAATCTAACAAGTATTGTAGATCCAGTACTTCTGTATAATAGTCTATAGTAAAGAGCATTTTTCCTTCATGCTCCTTAATCTGATCAGCCTTTGATAATACATTAACGTGTGGAAGTCCCATATTAAGCATTGCATGAAGAGACAAAAGTAAGGCAGAAATGAATTTGTGTGGTTCACTACAATAATGTGACTCTATTAAGTTTACAGTACACAGGCGATATCCATAGCTCTCTAATTTTTGGAATATGTTCCTCATAGCTTGATGATGTGTGTAAAGCTCTACCTGTCCTGGAAGATCAAAAATGATGTAATTTGCTGATGATTTTTCCATTTTCTTCAGAAGCCATTCAAAGTTTTTCTCAAGAAATTCCATACAGTACATTAATGCTCCATTTGGGCCTAGATCCTATCCAATTATTATTATAAATATTTACAATTAAAATTAAATTGATGGTAAAAACTTACAAAATGCTTCATTGCGTCTTCCACTGTTATTAATTCCATTACATCTACAAGCAAGCGATTATATGATGAAATTAAGATACTCAAAGGCATAAGTAGATATTTACCTATTTCAGGTGTATACTGCATATTCTCATTTCCTGGATCTAAATTGATTATACTTACATTTCGTTGCAATTCCTTGTAAAACTCAAACATTTTATGACAATACGTCGTTTTGCCAGATCCAGGAGGTCCAATTACTAACTGCCCAAAGAGCTGTATCTTAACTTTAAGCTTGCTATCCATACTTTTTATGTAAATTAAGTTTTTTTTTGCAATGTTATCTTTTTACAAAAGCGATCCGATTAATTCAGCACAATTCAGCAGATCCAAGGAAAAACTTTTCAAACATTAACCTTTAAAAAAATTTGTTCACTGAACAAAAAAAATTGTTTCATAAATATTGCAGCATAAAATATAATGTTAAATTAACTTACGTAAAAGTCTTAATCGGAGATATTAACAAAATAATGGCAAAGTATATAGCACAAATAATTGTTTTAGGTGGTCAAGTTATTGGTAGAGCTTTCGCGAGAGCCTTGAAACAAGAAATTGCTGCGAGTCAAGAGGCAGCAAAAAGAAATCAAAATAGTAGTACCTCAACTAGAGCAGCTACAACGAGGACAGGTGATTTGAATACTGTAATATACATGCATTCATGCTTATATATCAATTTTGATAACATCCAGGATTAACTCTCGAAGAGGCCCAACAAATTTTAAATGTAAATAAACTAGATCCAGAGGAGATACAGAAAAACTACCAACATTTATTTGCGGTAAATGACAAGTCTAAAAGCGGTTCCTTTTATCTTCAATCAAAAGTTTTCCGAGCGAAAGAGAGGCTCGATGAAGAGATTAAAGGTACTGCTAAGCCAGATCCTGAGGAAAAAAAAGGCTCTAAAGAAAACGAATGACAGTAAATCAAAACTTACGTAGCATTGTTGAATTCCTGAACACCTGAATAAAATATTTTAGTTAATAATCTTAAAACAGGAAGTTCTCATGTGCATCAAATCTGGATATATATATAATAATATTTTTGATCTTTCTTTATAGCATAAAACATGAATTAATAAGTGATAGCAGTTGATTAGTGGATATATATGAAGCTTATACTGGCCACAATTTCTCAAAGACAATTTCCTTAAATATAGCACTTCCAAGTTTGTCATGTGTGCTAACTGTCGTCTTTCGTGATTTGAATGCATCATTAATTTTCTCTTTAATGTCATTCGACTTGATCTCATTTCTAATATAGAATAGCCTAAATAAGTGATCCTCACTGATTGATGGATAGTTGGTCAATAAGGTATGTAAATCGAGAATAATCATTTCTACGTCGCAATTAAGAAGCTGTGCTAAATCAATTATAACATCAAATGGCGAATCATTTTTGAGCACATTTGGTGCTATTTTGTCAAAGAAGTGCTTAATTTGCTTAACTTCCTTAATAATTTTCTTGACAATAACTTCACATTCGACTTTTGGCTTACTAATCTTTTTGGACAGCATTGCTTTAAGGTATCGTTTTGCGACCATCTTTTGTGCTTCTTTAATGACAAATTCAAAGTTAAGAACACGCAGATGATTATAGTCTTGAAAATAATCCTGTAAAGTCACACAAATCGTATCAGCAGCTATGCTTGTTGCAATCCATTTGACAGTAAATAACTCATTGAAATGAATGTCTAAATCAAGGAACGCTTCTTCAAGTAAATATGAAGCAGTTTCATCTCTTAATGCTTGGAATGTCTCTATAAGTTTCTCAAAATCTTCATAATGATCAGTTCTAGTTTTAGGCCAATAAAGTTGCTTAATTTGCTGTGCTAGTTCCATGATTTGTTGACAGTTATTCACAATTGTAATGATATGCTGTGTAAAGAATGGAACTTGACTTCTGTCTTTAAAATGCCGTTCCTTAAAATCAATTATTGCCAAACGATATTTCTGTCCATATAATGTTACTTGTTGAATGCTAAGCACTAAAGCATCAAATGTCAAATCCTGACTTATAGTATTAGTAACTTGTAAGTGCTGATCGATCATTTGGAAGATGATAACAGGGCTTGATGTATGGAAAAATTGGTCATCTTGATCAGGCATTCCCGATTGCCAATCTCCCTTCTCAGTTTCGACTGTTTTATCCATCCAATCAGTATAGTTCTTTTCCATTGTCTTTAAATAAGCACCTTCCAATGATTTTAGTGTCTCTTTCTTCATAATTGGCTTAATATTTTCAATTTGTGATAAATCAATCTTCAAGTCAGGATGTAACATAAGTTCCTTTCCAGGATAAGTATTTATGATCCAAGACAATAAAGATACATACTCATTTCCTTCAATACCACGTTGAATTAATTGTTCCAAAAATCCAGCTACTGCACTATGATACATTTTTACAAATTCTTGCAGAATATTATAGGATGGTGGAAAACAAGGAATGCATACTGTCTTAATAACTTTCAGATCTTCTAAAATCAATTGTCGCATAATTTCTAAATCTTTAACAAGCCACAACTTTTCATCACGTTTCTCAATATTTGATCCTTCAATCCGTTCTTCGACTGTCTCATTTAAAGTTCTAAACAGCATAGAACGCCATTCTTTTGGACGAGCAGGTGGTAAAAATCCTGTAAGCTTCTGTTGCTGCAGTGCAAACTGATCAGCCTTTTCTTCGCGCTCTACTATCCTTAATGCTGTAACAACAATTGTTGGTTCTTTTCTTACTGTATTTAATAATCTCTTAAATATGAAGCGAAGCTTCTCTTGTAATGCAGTCGAGACATTATCGACCTTATCAAAATAGCATTTAAGTGTAATTTTATCATGTGTGTTCTGCTTAGTTAATTTATGTAGCTCAAATAACAGATCATCACGAGAATTCTCTAAATCCGATAAGCATTGATGAGCAAGCAACAATTTATCTTCTTCTATCCATCCCATAGCTTTTTCGACACTTGATTGAACTGTAAATATGTGCTTCAAATTCTCCATAGCTGTAACATACTGCGAATGCTTTGCATTTTCTTCTCTCACTATTTCTAGTTCATTACTTAATTTTGGTACTGCCTGAATCAAGTCTTGCATATTTATCATCTTTTCCTCAACTTCTTTAGCCATTACTAAACTTGATTGCAGCAACTGTAATCCAGATCCAACAGAATTTAATTGTTGAGTTAGAGCTGATTTTAGTAAACTTTCGTCTGAATTTTTCTTTCGCTGGATCTGTAAGTAAAGTTAATATTTAATCATAGATTGTTGTATTAGAACTATAGCACTAATTCCTAGAAATTTAACATTTTTCTTTTAACTTCATAGTTAAAAAATTTAAAACTTACTCGATGCCTAAATTGCTCAATTTTCTCCAACTGTCCACTTCTTTGAAACATGTTCCTTATTTCTGTTAATGCAGCTGCTTCTGCCTCTTTATCCAATGATTTTAAATCCATTTTTCGCAATTTTTTCAACAAATTTAACAATCGAAAAAACGTAAACAAAAAAAACAAGGCATAGACTTTAGCTCATTGCTTCCAAAAGAATTCGATATAGAGTGTAAACCTTGTCACATTAGACTCTCTGAATATTTTTGTTTACAAACGTTATAGATTTCGGTTCCTTTGAATTATTATGATATTTATTTTTTAAATAATGGATAAATCAAAAGTTTCACCACAAGAAATTTATGAAGTACTTGAGGAACAGAAGAAGTTACAGGAAGTTAAAACTAAACTATTGGGAATTCTTAATAAAGTCAATCAAACCATAAATTCTTTAACGGTAATAAAAAATATTTTTATAGGTGTGAAAAAGTATTTAATAAAATAATATTGCAGGTAGAGAATCTTCAATTAGCCCAATGCATTGATCTTAGTGACAACGAGGAACAGGAAGTGATTCCACCGAATCCAGTTGTAAGTCCTCCCGATCCATCATTTAGCTATAATCAATTGGAGCAGTCGGAGTTGATAAATCAACAGATGATAGAAATAGATGTGAAGCCATGCTTTGAGGAAATAGACTCTGATGAAGAACTTGAGCATCTTTAATTGATTTTAAAATATATATTTTTTTTTATGTAATAAGGATCTCTTTATTTTTAAATTCAATCACAATTGAATCAAAAATTATAAAGCTTATAACATTAGCCATTTACATAAAGTTTCGTGTCTCCAAAAAAAAAATTGTTGAAGAACTGTTGCTGTTGCCAGTTGTTATACGTAAATAAATATATTTTACAGATCAAAATCCAATAACAAGAATGTCTCTAATTGATGAAACGCGATTCAGGTAAATAAGTATAAAATAGGATGTATGTAGCCGATGATTTAACATCTGATTTATCGATTTGTGTTACGTTATGGTCATCAAATTTATACCATTTGTTTTGCCTTGCATTGCGACAGAACGCTAAAAGAAAAGAAATGTGATGAAGGAAAGTAATCAATAATTATTCAATATAGTAGCTAACAACACGTGAAGCATCATTTGCGTAAATGTCTACATTCGTTCTTATTACGCAAATTTTGAAGGATCACGTTGATTAAATCCAATGCCTTACCTGTATAATGCCCGGATTCCATTGTGCCGTAATGATTTGAGACGGCGTAAAGATTGTATACATGATTTGTACCTGACACACTCATTCGTTCTTTTGGTGATACATATTGAAGCATATCCAGGTCTGCGTATGGAAACTCAACATAAATAGACTTTTTTCGGAATGAATATGAGTCAGCATAAAAGCGTTTCAGATGAATTATTAGAACTGGTGGCAATTTGGATATATCTAACTTTTTAATTGCATCTCTAGGTACTTTACATCGCGGACAATTCCATCCACTTATGTTTTCACCATTAAAATATAAATTAAAGCAATCCATGATGTGACACCGCTCAATATTGATCATTGGAAGTTCCAAACTGAGGTTTGAGAATGTATCAAATGTGGCACTTTCTTCACCGCAAACTTTACACTTGACAGTACTTTTGATTTGTCCATAAAACAGCCTAAGAATAAAACTCTCTTTGGCTTTCGTGTATTCAAGCCAAGCTTTTTCTGACGGTGGTGACTGACCAATATTGTTTGCCTGATTAATGTGTAGACGAAGTAGAAAAAAAAAGAAAAATTTCCAAAAATAATTCCCTGCCGAGTTAATAAATTATCATATAGCTGCATACATACCATATTAATAGTCTGCAGATCCGATTGAAGCCAATCGATAAGCATTACAAGGAACTCGTGCGCATCCTGTTAATCAATTAAGATTCCGTTAAAAAAAATAACATATTTATGAGAAATTTATGCTCTTACCTGTTGATCAAATCCACAAAATAAATGCTCTTGCTCACCAATTACTGACTTTAGGTGCTTGCTAGATATGTACTTGCATTCACCACTCCAAAGCATTTTAATCACAGCTGCTAAAGTCCTAACAATATGTCCCTTTGTATTATTTGATCTGCGAATAAATTTTCCTTTTAATTTTAAGTTTAAATTTAAATAGTTAATCTAAAAGGCTGAAACTAGATTGTTTCAGAAAGAAATCAAATTTTTAAGTGCCTGTTAAAATAACGAATTTAAAAAATTGGAAAAGTTCATTTTTAAGAATTTTTTTCTTGTAATAATTTTCAATTTTCCAACAATTTTCAAAAAAACGTTTGCTCGAAACAGAAAAAGTTCAATCCTCGAGCTGATATAAATATCAGCTCACACCTTACCTATTAATTTGCTTTTCATAGTCATTTTCCAATAAATACTGTTTTAACGAGAGTGTATGACTTAGGCACTGAATTATGCTATTCATATAGCACGTATTTCCAAGATTCTTTAGACCAGTCAAGCCACGTTCCTAAGAAGAATAGAATAAATAGATTAAAATATGTTTTGGAACATTTAATGTCGCTCTTATAAGGTCATCTTCACATAGCAATGTGTGAATAGAAAGGATTCAAGTCATGCGAGATAATACCTTACTACGGTAATTAACTATCAATCGACGATAGCTGGGGAATTTAATTTTAACACCCGCAGTTTTAAGCATTATTTCCCGTATTTCCTTGAATATTATCTGTCGTCCTGATTAAATTGAGATATTTTGCGATGTGCTCGCATGCAGGTATAAAAATAATGTCTAAATTGCTTTATGTACTCAATATTTTATCACATCTTCTTTTTTATGTGGCACGTCCTCATTCAAATCCCGAATTTAAGATTTTTTATCTTAATTTCCCAAGAAAACTTAAATGTACAACAACACGAATGATTTATATCCTTTAAAATCGACAGCATATGTGCGACTGATTGACCTCAAGTAATATTTTTTCATGATGATACATTGATATTTATGTTGCCAATCGTTTTTCGTCGGACGCTTGTATTACGAATAAAATGAAAAAGTTCACTCGTACAATTGCGGTTCTAATAGTGAAAAGCATAATTGGATTTTGGGATCTAGTTGTACAATTATTATGATATGTGAAATGTGTGAAGTATACTTTGTTGTCTCATGTATGTGCCAAAAAATGATATTTTTGGAAATGACACAACACGTGATAGGACGCGTGAGAGATTTATTATAATAATTAATGTCATTAAGCTCACCACTTTTTGATAAACAGGTGCGAAGTCTTGATTATCGTAGAATAGCTGTGAATTTTGCAACGTAGGCTTTGAGGCACGATCAAAATGAGGAATTGAATTCTGATTGAGGTTCCTGGGCGATAAAATCAGCTCACTTTTTCGTGGTGCTTTAGTCGGTGATTTATAATCATCAAATTGTGGTTTATTCTGTCGAGCGATGCTCAATTTTTCTTCACGTTCCTTCTTTTTCTTCTCGCGATCATCGTGCAATTTCTTCTCTTCTGCTTCCTTAACTTTTAAACGTTTTTCTAAATCCTCTACCTTGGATATTTTCGGACTCAAAATAGTCGTTTTCTTGACTTTCTCTAGCTCATTATTAATCGTTTGATGCTGAGATGCAAAGTCCTTTTGTTTCGTATCTAATTCCCAAATTTGAAAAAGCATTTGTTGCTGCTTATTTGGATCATCTTCATTTTCTTTATTAGCTGACATTATGTCAAAATCTTGTTCCAATTTCATTAGGTCCTTCTCATTCTGAATGGATTTATTGATCAGAATTTCCTTTTCTTCCAACAACTCACTCTCTGAGAGTTTCTTATCATATGCTTTAATTGCACTTCCTTTAGTCGAACGATCAACAAGAGGTGTACTAAATGATTCATCCTTCATGACAATATCTTCTAAAGTTGGATATTCAATGCCTTCAACCGTAGGAGTTGAATTATTCATGTCATTCGGTACTTCAACATGAGGATCAGTACATTTCATTGGATATGTAAACAGCCAACTTTCATATCCACCTTCTAAAATAATCATTTCTGGAATTTTATCAAGCTCTGGATCGTATTCTTTTAGAATATTCCGTAACTGCCAAACTGGTGTGTTTCGAGTAAAGCATACACTACGCCAATCAAGGAAAACAATAATTGGACGGTCTTTTCTCATTTCCCAAAACACTTTTGATTCATTCGGCAATTCAAGCTGGATTTTATTTGCTGTCATTCCAAGATTACATAGATCTTGTGGAACATTACAAATAAACTTGAAATCTATTTTAGAATTGATAAAATCTTCATTAGACCTAGTGTCTATAATGAGAATTTTACTGCTATCTTTCTCCATCATTTCGAATAGCTTTAAGCATGTGATTGTCTCACGAATTTCGGGAATTTTGTCAATGACTGGATTTTCCACAGGAACTTTTGGTTCAATTGTCATCTTTGCTATATTCTCTTCGTTGATAATTCTTGGCTTTAGTTTTTCTCGCAACTTTTCAAGTTTCTCCATCAATCTTTTTTGTTCTTGATTGCCGCCCATAGTAGTTCTAATGAAATTTTTCTGTGCAACATAATCTTTTTTATGCTGTAACTGAGTCAATAAATTCATATATCTTCCTAAACATATATAAGCTGTCTCTGCATCTCCTTTTTTATCATGAAAGTCTGCCATTTCCGCAAGCTTCTTAGCACTTATACATATTCTAAAAGATTTATTAAATTGAATTAAAATTTTGATGCAATTTCATATTTTTTGCAATTACTGTTGAATGGTCTTTCCCTTCACTAGATCTTTAACCTTTTCTACTTCATTGTCAATTTCTTTTAGCGTACGACTACTTCCGTTACTACTCATTATGAGTGTTATTAGTTAAATTAATACTTTTTACAAAAGAACAACTTCATCCAATTTAATGTAAACAGTCAAACTACACACATACAGTTCCCACATTTAAATTTTTTATAGTCGTTAATTTATGTAATTTTTTTTAAATTTCACTGACTATTCCTTCATACACATAGAATTACATTATTGGTAAAAAACGTAGTAAAATACTTAATTTTCTCAGAAACTGTCAAAAAGAGTCATGACAACAACTTATAACTCACATACTATGCTTGATAGTAAATTTATGAAAAACTTGCAAGTTCAAAAAATGAACTTGTCCAACTTGAAAAACAGTGTGGCAAGTTCAATTTTTTTTTGATAAGTATTGAAAAAAGGTAATTCATTAAAATTGAATTTTGCTGTGTTAGTAGACTAGATTATATTTAAAACTAGAGAACAATGTCTGGATTTGACGAGAATCCCTTCGGAGAGCCTGTATTTAATGATCCATTTAAGGTAAATAGCAGAGAAAATGTAAAGACATGAAAATTCCCATATTTTTGATGATTTTATTAATTCTGACATATTCTTTATCTTATCAATATTTGTTATCGTTATGATTCATCATGGAAATAGGATCCAAGCATACAACAAGTGGCAGCAAAGACTGCAAATAATAATCAAAATCTTGATGATTATGATCCATTTTCATCGTCCACAAATTTAGCAGTAAGTAACACATCACAACCAGCAACGCTCCAAACAAATAATCAAACATTGCCTGAGTATAAAGCTTCGGGTCAACAATATCAAGTGAATGATAATAATGCAAATGGAAGTGGAGTCACTCAAATCAGCACAGCTGAACTTCAGGTAAATAGTGAATCATCACTTTTTTTATGTCTTAATGACGAATATCTTGTTGTTGGCATGTCCTACTGAATTAATAATTGTAATACTTTCGTCGACTTTCATACTTTTCAATACGCTTAATATATTAAGGAGCTAAGGGTAAGGTCCAATAGTCAAAATTAGATTACTTTCGTAATGACTTTCTTTAACCTTTTATTACTGCATTATACTGTATATGTGACCTAATTTCCATTTTTCGCTTAATCTCATTTTTCATCTGCTTCTCTCGCTGCTGCTACTTTCTTTAGAGACGTCAAGAAGAGCTTGAGAGAAAAGCCGCTGAACTGGAACGTAGAGAAGCTGAGCTTTTAAGGAATAGTAACACAAGTGGAGTGAGAAGAAACAACTGGCCCCCACTTCCCGACAAATTTTGTGTACAAGTATGTTGTTCCTCATTATGTCAAACAATAGAACCATTAATGTTTTAATTTTTTATAGCCTTGCTTCTACCATGATATCAGCATCGATATTCCATCAGAGTTTCAGAAAATCGTCCAGAACTTGTATTATCTCTGGATCTTTTATGCCGCTGTCATGTGTGTTAATGTCGTGGGCGGTCTTTTGTTAATGTTTAAGAATACAGATTTTGCATACTTTTTCCTCGGACTGTTTTATGCTGTTTTATTCACTCCTGCGTCATTTCTTTGTTGGTAAGTGCGAAATACTTGAAAATTAATTACGCATCTAAAAATAAATAAATTCACTTCCTTCCTTCTTTTTTTAAGGTACCGTCCGGCATACAAAGCATTCAAAGATGATAGCAGTGCAAATTTTATGCTCTTCTTTTTCGTATTCTTCTTTCAATTGATTATTATGATCGTGCAAACGATAGGTAAATACTCTAAGACTTCCCGTTGTCGTGCATGGCTTTTATTTATTTATTGTTTCGTCGACGAAACCTTTAGTGTGATCAATTTAAAATGATTGAGTGGGTTCTCATATTTCCGAAATATGATTCAATTCATTCAGGAAGTTCAAATATAATCTTTTTTTTGTTGGATAGTCAGTGAATCAAATGTTGTTTGCATCGTCCTCATGTCACATAGTTAAATCTTCAGTTTATTTGGTAAAACAGTTCAAAAAAAAAAGTTGACGTGACATACGTAAATTAATCGTTACGTAATTTCTTCGAACTTAAAAAAACCGTAAATTTTAAACAGTAATTTTTCAAATGAATAATCTTTGACTAGGTACATATATATATCAAGTGACATTATCTTTATTTAACCTTCGACCTCTGAAATGAGATACTTTAGACATATTTAGAAGATGATTTGTCAAAGTTGTATTAGTTCTGAAATCTGAGAATATCTACTTCTGATTTAAATTCATAAAAGCAGAACATTTGGACTATATTACTTACTATATGCTTCTTTTAAGGATTTCCAAATGGCGGCACAATTGGAATTATTACTGCAGTTTCTCAATTCGATGGATCGTTTATTGGGACAATACTCGGAATTTTCTGCTTATCAATCGCCATTAGTTTTGGACTGGCTGCGGGAGGAACACTATTGTTGTTAACAAAGATTCATGCAATATATAGAAGTAGTGGAGCGAGTATGGATAAAGGTGTACAGGAATTTCAAAGAGAATTCTTCAGAAATCAGACTGTTCAACAAGCCTCAGCAGATTTAGCTCGTTCAGCGATGCAAACGGAATTAGGAAGAAATCGTTACTGAACCTTTTAAGGTCATATTTTAATAACTTATTTTATCCTTCCTACATATTATATATCTACATCAAAATTTGTTTAAACAAAAGATTCATTCGTAATGTTTTGTTATTCTACAACTTAAGACTCTTCGTTCCTTAATATGGAACATTCATTACTTTCATCTTCTTATGTCTCACGACTAATTCCTATTTGGCAGATTTATGACGATTAATATTGGAGAATTCATGATAATTGTATGACATATTTGCAGAGTCAAAATAATAATAGTAGTAATAATAATTATAATTAATAAGTCAGTCGTCCGAAATAAATGTTTAAAAATTGAAAAGAATAAATGTTTACAAGACATGATATAAAGCCCTAACAGCCTTGTCGTGTCTGTCCATACAATGATTTCTTTTTGAATTATAGTAATGTTGAACATTAAAAGTTACGAGTCAAGTCATTACTTAAAGAAATTATCCTTTTTTGATATCATATACTTTATTTTTTGTGAGAGAAATTTTATATGCGTATAAAAGTAAAAATATGTGTTTGGAAACTAATATGAATATACGTTGGTTACGTTTAGACTTATTTATACATCAAAAAACATTCGCGATTCATTATTTAATGCATACAAACATTTTTTGAAAACAAACCACTATTTGCTTTATAATAAAATCTTTATTCGAAGATGTGAAGATAAACGGCTTTTTCAATTTTGATTGGCTTTGAATTTTTTTCTGAACTCCTTCATTGTTTTGGTTTCGTTAATTTGAAAACACGTGAAAAGAGTGAGTGCATATTAAAATAATTAATAAAATGGGTAAATCAAAGAAAGGCAATAAGATAGTAACTAGTTTTCGATCAACCCAAGGCTTAGAAGATCAAATCACTGAAGGTCGTGTAGTAAAATCAAAAAGTAAGAAGCACAAAGATCCAATAAAATTGCGACATGATGAAGAGGACAATGAATTTATTGATCCAAAAACAACTCAAAGAATCTTAAATGCAGCACAGAAACAACGTGCTGAACTTGCAAAAGAATTCGGTCCAACACCAGGTGAAGCACAAAGTCGCGGACTTTATAATACAAAGAAATTTTCTGCAGACAGCGATGAATCTGATCATGAAGAATTCGAGGATAATAAGGAAGAATATACAGAGCATGACTTCTTTGATGATCTTCGTATTAATGACGAGGATGAAAGAGCACTCCAAATGTTTCAAAATAAGTAGGTCAATTGAATTGTATAATTAATTCATTTAAATAAATTTATCAACTTTGTAAATTTAGGGAAGGTCCAAAAACCAGAACACTAGCTGATATAATTATGGAGAAGATTGCAGAGCGAAAAACAGAAATACAGACACAGTTTTCTGATAATGGATCATTGGCTTTGGAAGACTTAGATCCACGAGTCAAGGAAATGTATGAAGGAGTTCGGGATGTTATGAAGAGATTCCGTACTGGAAAAGTGCCAAAAGCCTTTAAAATTATCCCCAGACTCAAAAATTGGGAACAAGTGCTTCTCTTAACAGAACCCCATAATTGGTCAAGTGGTAAGTTTCTTCGTATTACATCTATGGATATGATAATGAATCATTAATTTCGTTTAGCTGCTGTATATGAGGGAACGAAAATGTTTGCATCCGGTTTGACACAAGCAATGACACAGAGATTCTTTAGCTTAGTATTACTTCCTCGCATTCGAGACGATCTAGCTGAATTTAAGGCAAATATTAAGACACTGATTAAACTGATAAAAAATTAACATGTTCATTTGATTCCACAGAAATTAAATTGTTTCCTTTATCGAGCGTTGAGGAAGGCACTTTTTAAGCCAGCTGCATTTTTTAAAGGTATAATTCTTCCATTGCTTATGTCCGGTGACTGTACACTTAGGGAAGCTATTATTTTTGGAAGTATCATAAGTCGAACATCAATTCCTGTTCTTCATGCTGCAGCATGTCTTTTAAAAGTCTGTGAGATGGAATATAGTGGAGCAAATTCGATATTTGTAAGGATACTGCTAGAAAAACGATATGCCTTGCCTTATCGTGTAGTTGATGCTGCAGTCTTTCACTTTTTACGATTTGAAACAGACCAACGTGAATTACCGACACTTTGGCATCAAGCTCTTCTTACATTTGTTCAACGATACAAAAATGACATTTCGTCAGAACAGAAAGATGCTTTGATGCAGTTACTTCGAAAGAAGAGTCATGCAAAAATAACACCAGAAATACGTCGTGAGTTACAAGCAGCAAAACCAAGAGATGCAGAAATGGGAGCTGCTATGGTATGCGAAGAGGAAAATGATGACAACGATGATATGGATACTGAATGAATGTGTTTGAAAAGCTATAATGAAAATAAACATTTTTAGAATGTTGTAATAACATTCATTGTTAAAAGAATTACTTACGTGAAAAATAATATTCATCTGTATATTTATTTAATTAATTACCTTGCTTAAGCTAATTTCCTTCTTACAGATAATTAAATGAGTAAAGTTCCGACAACTTTTTCGTATGACAGCAAAGAAAGGGGATAATTAATAATTGATATTGTTGGTAGGAAAATTTCAGTCGTTATTTTTAATGAGCATTGAAGATAGAAACTTTAGCATTGAAAGGACTGCTCTGGCTGGGATGTTGCTTGAAATGCATAAAAACTTGTATTAAAAATGAAAACATGTGATGAAATGACACATACAGGACTTATATGGGATGGAATGAAGAGATAAGTACAAACTTTTAATTTAATTGATTATAAATGTTGGGGAATGAGGGATGAATGCTTTTTGAAAAGCCTAAAACTCTACGAAACCTCATCTCTGTGGAAAAAGTCCATTGAAAAAGTTTTGTGTTATCATTAAAATACATCCACACATCCTTGTTCTTCAATCTATCCATTTTTCTCTAAACTAAGGAGGTCGTTCTCAAATGATGTCTAAAAGAAAAACGAATAGTCGACCAATTCATTGCCACAACTAAGCTTTAAAAAAATGAAAAACTTATTTGAATAAAGTGCCAACCAAAGTTTAATGTCATCTATTAACCATAGGCTTCATAGCTTCAAAGTTGCTTCCAAAGAATCACAAAAATACTATTTATTTTGATTTTCGTAACTATTCTGAACTCGATTAAAGTTTAAAGTATATACATTTTAAAAATATTAAATTAATTCGAAAGCTTTCATTCATACATCAAAGTCTTTATAATTAATTATGAATTCTTTAATTTTTAAGATCCGATTCAATCCAATAATGAAATTTCCTGTTGCATTAAACTATCCTTTTAAATCTCAAATTGGATTGTGTGTTATGTATTTTGATATCACTAAGTTAAGTATTTAAAAAATAGTCAGCCATATATGGTTTGCTAAAATAAGCTTGAAAGTCACTGTCACTTATTAGTGAATGGTGAATAATACAGGTACAGACAAAGAGGTTCGAATTCTAATTTAATGCAGAAAGAGGGGCTGTGGTAATCAATTATTAGCATCAATAAGAGGATCTTACACTGATATGACTGCATGGGACAAGGGAAGTCATATGCAAATCGAGGACCTCTATGTTTTTGAACTTTAAATTTGAAGCTTAATTATTTGCATTATTTGAATTGACCTAAATATCGAAAAATAAAGGAACAATTTCTTTTTAAAAACTTCCCTAAATATCTTACTGGATGTCATTATAGAACGACTCCCTTTAAATGCTTTCAAATTAAACTGGAATTCTATAAATTTACACAGACATCTGCTAAAGACATTTTCGAAATCAAATGCAATTTATCAATGGAATTAGAAACATTTCAGAATAATATGTATCTGATGCACGCGTATGATGAATATAGATTGAATTGAATTTATCAATGGAATTATATTCACAATGGCTTTGTTGGTCAAAACAGAATCAGAAAATTTGTAATCGAAAACGGACAGTCATTTATCAAGCTATAACAAGCAAAATATTCCCAATGAATGAAGCATAAATTTATATTTTCAATTAATCAAGTTAATTTCTCTTAGGTCCACTTTAAAGCACTTTTTCCCAAACAGAAGTTGTTAAACAGCCTTTAAGCCTAAGAAAACGTGCAGCTCGATGGAAACATCAAAAATTGAAGCGAGAGAGATGAGGTTAATGATGACATTAAATTTAATTAACTTTACTTGACCCAAGCTGTGTGTATTTTTGATAGCTGTCATCATCATTATAAAATGAGAGTAACGAGAGTGGTAAGAGCTTTTACTCGGTACATTGTCATTGTTTGCTTTCCTCTTCATTTCTTTTCTCTCTCTTGACATAAAAATACATAATCTTGAGAGGCGCAAAACAGAACGCTGAGTAATAATCTTGTCTATATGTTGAATTATTTTTAACCGCAGAAAAATGCTGTAATTTTTTACATCAACATTACTTTGCAGGAATACTCATATCTTTTTAAAAGAAGCCCGAGCAGAACTCTTTTAACTTTAGACTGTTCCAAACTATGTATCGCGGTACATAAGTGTGTTCCAAAAATCAGATAAAATATTTTTTTGAGTAAATGATATTGTAAGATGAATTAAGTTGAACACGTTCCGATAGGTTGGATAAAGTATCACGTTGTTGAACAAAAAACTCAAAGAGCTAGCAATATCGATATGGGCGATTCTACGAATGATTTTTTCTACAAATTTGTCTCCAAATCTATATTTCTCTTTATCAATTGCATTACTCCCCATGTTTCATGTATTTAATAGTAGATTTTACCGATATCTACACAATGTTCTCACCCAAACATATTAAAAATGGTTAATTAAAGAATTATTTACATTCTACGAAAAATTACTCTGTTTCACATGAATTTTTTCGCCCAAATTTCCAAAATGTTTTCATTAATATCTTTAAGGTGGTAAAATTTCCAGTAATACTAAGTATACAAAGTTATAGCTTAAAGTAAAAGCTTCAAAACGATGTCAAAATCATATTTGTGGAAGCCTTAATTAAGCTGCAATTTGGATTCTTCGAAAAAATTCATATTATGAAACAGAGTAATTTGGAGACAATTCCAAAAAAAACTACCAAATATTAAAATTAAAACCATGAATTTCTCAAGCCATAGCTAAGTAATTTGAGTGCAGATGTAATCATAATTCACAGTTTAACCAAAAGAAAAGAAAATGAGAATTAGATTTTTGAAAAACTATGCTCAAGTGAAAATAAAATAATTAAAAAATTTCATGCAATTGACACGGATTATTTTCATGAAACCTTTTCGTAGAATTGCCCATATCTAGTTCAAAGTGAGTTGAATCAAAACTTATGGCTTCGCCCTGATAGTGGGTCCATTGATAAAATAAGTCTCGTAATTCGTGTTAACTTAAAGCTTGATATCTTGATAAATACAGCCAATATTTTTGACATCCTATCATTTCTCTAGTGAATGAATAACCTTCAGCCGTTTCAGATTACTTCATTCTTTACCACATTCCATATTTCTTCTTTGGATTCCGATTTTCTTCAACCAAACATCATGACAAAAATGATGAAAAAGAAGAAATTAATCACATATCTTTGTTTCGATTTTCTTCCATGACATAAGTTATGTAAGCATGTCAAAGGAATGGTCGTTTTCCAGCACTGCATTATGTATGAAACAATAACAAACTCGCTTTTCTTGGATATAATAAAGCAATTGATTTGAAAATTAAGTTTATATTTTGATGATTTGTAATGCATCAGACTGCCTGCCTTCACTGATTAAAGGCCTTTGTGACACAAACACAAAAGATGGTAAAAGGGAAACGATTTCTGATAATCCTTTATCGATCCAATTGAATTGTTTCTCAAAGAATAATACGCACAACATTAATCATTGTGTGATATATACAGTAATCCTTTATTCAATCATCTCATTCTCAAAGGAACGATTACTTGAGATTTACTTCTATCAGAACAGTTACAAGGGATGAAAAAATAAAAATTCAATGTGATTTATCACATCAACATTCGTTCAGAAAAAGCATTTCCGTTTTTATGATGCTTTCTATAAACAAAAATCATGATGGCTGTAAATTTTTGTCCATTCGTGATTTTTTTTTTATTTGGCTTTCTTATTGTCAAGAGGCTTTAACATTTCATTTATCCAGCTCAAATATAGAAAAGCTCGATGTATGAATACACTGGTCTCATGGGATTCTTGAATATGTTTTTTTTTGATTTTTGCTGGTATTTGACTTCGATAGATATATCTGTGTCTTATGTGATTTGTTTCTAAAAACTTTGAGCGATTGAGATTTTTTTGAGTGTAGCTCAACTTTCTTTCCTTGCTTCCATTTTTTTGTTATTTAACCCTGTTTATCGAGAAATCGTTGATATATGAATTTGTTAAAATGTTCATGATTCACTGTTTCTAATAGACCATGTCCGGCGAGTAGTCATAAGGGGAGGATCACTTCCTACGTTTGTGGAAATTCTTCCAATTATTATATTACGTTCAAAATTAAGGAGGGACAAGAGTCTAGGATTTTTCTGGGAAGGGAGGGTGGGGAAGTGTTATAATAATCAAGTATTTAACTGACATTATAATTGAACGACCCCTAAAGTTTTTTCTAGTATTTTTCTTTATTATTCAAATCAGTCACACACTTACAATGAAAATATGCAAAAATCTCATTATGATTTTTTAATAGCAGCAAGTTTTCCTTACAATGCTCATTACTGACTTGTTGTTAAGTTAAGGATGTTGAATTTAATTTGAATATATGAGTTGTAGGAACTACATAATCGAAATAAGGAAAAATAAAAATCAGAAAACTTTTTTTCCTTATTTTAATTGCTGAAAAATTTTATGCAGTATCCAGCCATGAGTGTTCAAAATTCTGTGAGTAACAAGTAAAAGAAAAATATTAAATGCATAGTAAGTTATAAATTTATAATTGTTATCTCATTAAGTATGCCAGACTAGCAATGATCTTGAAAACTTTAAAAATCAGGAAATGAAATTTTTATGGATTACAAACATTTACAAGTAATATTCAAAATCTTTTTGAGTATTGAGAATTTTGTGGTGAATCTGCTGAATCTCTATGTAGCTATACACCCTTAGATAAGGTAGGGTAATGTTGAATGTAAAGCTATGACGAACAACAGGTAATTGAAATTTTTAACCATCTTTATTCCAAAGATAAAGGTCATTTTCATATGCTCATAAGTTAAGATGCTCGTTGATGATATGCTAAAGTTTCCTTTAATGCAATTATAAGATCAGGATATATAAAATATTGCAGCAACTCCTAAGTGCTGCTAACCGATTTAAAAGGATTAAAAACAAGTGAGTATAATATAAGTATGAAAACAATGAATGTTGACTGACAATGTATGTTGACTCTTCCTAATTGGGAAAATTCTTATCCAAATAAATTTTAATCATTGTTTAAAAA